AAAATTACACTTATGTCAACAACCAGTGAAGAAGCCAAGATGTTAACAATTAAAAAGCGACAGACATATTCAACCCGTTCTTACTCCCCGAACAGAATATAGCAAATATAATGAATATCATGAAATAATTTAGTTTAGGCTCTGCTTTGGTGCCTATATCTGCCAACAAATGCCTGTTAGAAGAAAACAAAACACCTTTCCTTAGACCTGTAGACCACTACTGACCTGCATCTGGTAAATTAACTGAAGAATATACTGGTACAAAAGCATTAACAGTGACACTTGACATTTAATTTTCATTGTAAACAACATAGGTAATATTAATGGCGTTCACACTACCAACACTAGTGTTTTCCATAGCCAACTAAAATATCCTCTTTCCTTTACCTCAAGTAAACGTAGCTTAAATTCAGAAAGTAACAGTCAATAACAACAACTTAAAGTTTCACTTGGTATCACTCAGTACGCTGATTCAATCTTTCTTCACCATGTCTGTCACTCTGTGTGTAGTAACATTGCTCGGCAGCTTGGTAGAGCAGTGGTGAAGTGCAGCCTCCCCCAGGGTCCTAGTGCCTGATGAAAGTAGGGATTATTTTTATTCTGAAGCAGAGTAAACAACCGGAATGATTATTTTAAGACAATAAATACTAATTATATTTGTAGTATTCTGTAGTATTTATCAATATTCTTGCATTGTAAAAAAAATAAAAATCTAATAATAATTTTTCTTATTATTATTTGGGGGAGTTTAGGACCACGTTAGGCCTAACGTCCATGTCCCATAGACTTTATGATGAAAGGAAACAGAAAAACTGCTTTTCTTGGAAATATTTACCTTTCGTGAGTAAAAATTGACCTTGTTTGTCATTCAATGAATGGGGGTCTATAGCGAAAGTTTTTTTGGGCCTGTCACAACCTGGCAAGTAAATTAAGCAAAATATACAATTGCAGGTATCAGTATGTATGAAGTGTATGTGTGAGTGAAATGCATGGGTGTAAAACACAAAGAAACAAACAGAACAAAATCAGTCAGCACACAGGTGATTGTTTAGCAGCAAGATTGACTCGCTGTGTCAAATCCAAATCTCTTCATACATCCATGTTCACTAGAAGAACAGTTCCCTCTTTTTGTTTCTGTGTCGTAAAGTCATTAACCGGATTCCTTGCCTTATCTGATTTGTTGGCAGTGTTTGAATGTGGGAAGTCACTGAGGGACCACATCCTTGTTGCTAATCTATTCCCCACTACAGCTCGGTGGGATCTTGGATCGCTACTCATGTTATGCCCTCCACAGTAGCAGGTGAAGAGAGGTGGCTGAAGACATTGTGCGTATCAGAGGAAGCACATGCTTTTCTATTTCCTCTCTCCTGCCAACAGTGGAGTCACACTGCTGAGGGAAGGACTGCTTCTTTAGCTTCAACTTGAAGACCTTCCAGGTCACATGCACAGCTCTTCTAACCTCTATGATAGCCAGCAAAATCTATTTTACCATGAAATTATCTCAAGTGTCAGTGTCTGTAAGCATACAAGTTAAGATAGTTTACAACACAAACATTCAGTAGAAAACAGCAAAAAGGCCATTTGATCAAACCGTATTGAATAATAAATAACAAATAAAAATAAGCACAGTTCTTTAAAACCTCTTTTTCGGCCAGCTGTGTGTGACTTACATGTTAGCATGTATGTGTCAGTTTCTATGTTACTGTGAGTAGCTTTGCATGTCTGTGTCTCTCTATGCGTGTACTGTGGTTTGGTACGACCTATCTTGTTCTGCCTCTGTACATGTTTGTGTATACTGTATGTGCGAGCCTCTCCAGTCCTGCTATTTTCTCCAGTTTGATGTGAATGAGGAGTGACTGTGTTAAAAGCATTAACATTTTCAAACCCCGAATCACTAATGGGGATGTTGTTGGGGAGGAGAGGCATTCGGCAGAACGCTGCATTATTTAGCATCCACTAGTTAGCATCCTCAAAGACACACACACACACACACACACACACACACACACACACACACACACACACACACGTTAATGTGTTTTTTTCACACTTTGTGATATATGAAATACTGAGATGAGAGCTAGGCAGAGCACATTAAACCACAAAATCACAACATCTCACCATAATGAGGAAGAAACACACATACAAACATTCATTTTCACAATGTGCAAAGGCAAATACATATTTTCTCTCACTCAGATACACACACACACGTGCACCCAAAGACACACAGACACCCTCAGACATCTCGTCATTGATTCAACCTCTGATAGGTTTCGGCCACAGAGCAGAGGGAGTGATGAAAGACAGGAGCAATAAGAAAAAGACAGGTTGGAGAGACAAGGAGAGATGGGGGAGTGAAACGAGATGAGACAGCGGGGTGGAGAGCCCGTTTTGGGAGAAATTTGTAGGTCGTTATCTCTGGAATTTAATGGGTGTGTTTTATATGATTTTTGAGTGTGTGTGTGTGTGTATGCATGTGTGTAACAGAGAGAGTTTTCTCTATCCTTCTCGTCCCCCCTCTTCTCACTTTCCCTCCATACCTCTTTACCGCCATATTTCTCTTGAATGTTCGATACCTACTCCTTTCAAATTAAATCTTATAACTTTTAACCTTCATTTATCTGCGTCAGTTAAACAAGCAACAGCGTGGATGGCAAATGTAGGTCTCTTGGTCCACCACTTTGGTCCACTTAAATATCTTAACAACTATTAGATGGAAGATAACAGCAAAAGCACTAGCTTGTTTCCACATCTTTGAATCGATGCCCATTTTCACTGTAGACATTTTGATATGTCATAGCGTGTAAAACATATGTGTAATTTGCATGCATAATACCAACACTGGAATTGGATCACCAAAATTAAATTCAGCCATCATCACTGTTGTTAATTACATCTGCATTTCACCTTCTATGATATGTCAAAATAGCTGCTGTGAAAAACACATTAACAGCACTCCTTCCTTTATCATGACACCTTTTTGTAGATTATCCATTTTTCTGAAAACTTTGCACAATGGTGTATAATGTTCACAGACAGGATTTAGCTGTTCTGGAAAGTTATTTGATGCCAATCATTTTATCTTTGAACAGTAAACAATATGGCATTCACATTACAAATTAATCAACCAGGAATGTGTCCTTTTGACAGGATGTATTTGATTAGCCAATGCTTTTCTTTGCTGGATGACATTGTGTTGCTGCAAAAGTTGAGCCACGTCCATCATTTATGCCAGATGCTTGTGTTTCCTTCTCTACTGCCTTTTGTCTCTGTGGTACCTACTGAGTCAATGCATTTTCCAATTGCTGAGTGCGTGTGGCCAAATTGCCTCTTTCTGAAAATTCAATATGTTTCTACGAAAAGCACTTTGTTTTAAGCATACTGATACCTTTAGTGCTGACTGAAAATTATTTCATAGCAGTTGAATACATCAGTGATTGGTGAAATGTAAGAGCAAAATCATTGCCTGCCTCCACAAAATGTTATAAACAACAACACTGAGTCAATAAAGAGGTGGTAAGTACTGTACATGGCAATTTAAAAGTCTGATTATTAGCGTAGGAAAAGAAGCATGTTTTCTTTAATTTTCATTTAACAGTAGTGAAATGGTATTACAAATACCAATGTATTTCAACTGCAATGCTTTACTATTGCAAATTAAAAAGTATGCCTTAAATAAGAGGCACAATGTGGAAAAATGTAAGGAGATCAGATTATAGAGGAGGTACATTCTTTTAAGTCCCTTCTTAAAACATACTTTTATAGGAGAGCCTTTCCAGATCTTATTTGACTTTATTTTATCCCTTTTATTTTATTCTATTTAACTAATTTTATATTTATCTTAAACGTGTATTTTAGTCTTTTCAATGTTTTCATGCTTTTATCTTGTATTGTTTTTGTATTATTGTCTTTTGGGTATTATTGTCTTTACACTTGTTAAAGCACTTTGTAACTTGTTTTTGAAAAGTGTTCTACAAATAAAGATTATTATTATTATTATTACATTACATTTTACATATTGTACATGAAAATGCTTCTAATATTTGTTTTATACTCTCTTTGTTTCATCATCTTCCTCTTTTACTACCCCCCAACCCTCTATCTTTCACTCTCTCTCTCTCTCTCTCTTTCTCTCTGTGTCACCCCGAGGCAGTATTTCACATTACCATTTACATCAGTCAAGGAGCTCTGGTTAAATGCACCCCTTACCTCTATGCTTACTCACATGTTTATTAGCACTCACACACTCACACACACATGCACACACACACACACACACAGATCATGGTGGCATGTAGGAGTGTACACACACAGAAACAGAGAGCTCATCCAGAGCCAAGTAATGTTGACAGCGACCCTGCTATTTTTAAAGGGCACACTTCACAAGATATCATTTCTTCATCATTTGTCCTCGGGGATCTTTGTCTATTTACACAACACACACACACACACACACACAGACTGGTACACACACATAAGCAAACATTCTATAGTCACACAAAAGTATTCACACTCACATGCACACAGTAGGGGTTAATGTCCCATCTCTTCGGATCTGTTTGTCGTAACAATTCAAGCTGGTGAAAACTGAAACGACGTTTTTTTTTTTTGATGGAGGTCATTGGAGAGTTATGCATTTTTCTTTGTTTGCCATGACTTCATTTTCACAACATTTTCAAAATGCTCTGTATGCATCAGACGTGTACGACAAATTTAAAATTATGTAGCCTATAGAATACAAAACAACGCTTACTGTGTCTTATCAGCTGCATCAGAAAATTTGGTTTATTCCTGGTTTTATTTATATTTGATGTGATAAATAAAACCACCCACCAGACAGAGCTGTCATATGTGCTTACTTTTAAATATCAAGGTAATTTGTAATTTATTGATTTAAAGAGACCCAAATAAGATACCGTAGCTTAACAGAAAACGTAAAGTAAAAATACAGACGGCAACAGTTCAATCAGAAGAGACTTCATTAAGAGTGAAGAAATCATTTTATTGACGTGAATAGTCTGGCGATTAGATCCCATCGCGATGTCATGGATGGTGAAGTAGGATACCCCCCTGATAGAGTGTAGACACTGGTGGAGGTCGTGAAGGGATGAAGAGAATGGCTGAGATCTGGATGAGCAGAGGAGCAGGCTTCTAGTGAGCTCAGACCGGGCGCTGGAAGTGATGAAATGCAGGTGAATGGGGTGGAGGAGGGTCGCCACAATTCGGACTGAAATGACAAGTGACAGCAGCAGAGAGGGGACCACATTTAAAGTTTGACAGCATTGACATGATTGGCTCATGGAGATCGTAACACAATCTGGTTGGTTTAACTTAAAGAGTAATTGCCCATAGTCAACTGATTAAAAGAAAGCAGGAGACTTTAACTGCAGGCCGATGTTGAATCTTAGTTGAAACTACATTTCTTTAATTTTATAGTCTCTGGCAAACATCCATCCATTGTCAACTGCTTCTCCTGCGTACAGGGTCGCAGGGGTCGCCAGTCCATCGCAGGGCCACACAGACAAACAACCAGTCACACTCACCTAAGGTGAATTTAAGGTCACCAATCAACCTAGTCCACGTGTCTTTGGATGGTGGGAGGAAGCCGGAGCACCTGGAGAGAACCCATGTAGACACGGGGAGAACATGCAAACTCCACGCAGAAGGCCCGGGGCAACCGGGGTTAGAACCCACAACCTTGTTGCTGTGAGGCAACAATGCTAACCACTGCACCGTGCCACCCTCTGGCAAACATACTTTAGCAAAATCAGACAATATACTTACATTAGCCAAGGACAGGTGAAGAGCTTTAGAGATACATAACTCACATAGAGAGCGGACTGACAGCAGGGACAGCTGGATGGTTCTGCTTTTTAGACAACAAAACAAACACCAAATCATACATATGCAACTCAGTAGGATGTGTTAAAAATATTAAATTGTTTGGTGGGATGAAGCAGGACACCTACACAGTTTGCCTGAGGCAGCCAGGCAGAACAGCCTAAATCTGTTCTGTTAGGCTCTGTTGTGGAATTTGCATCTTGAGGATGGTACATCCTGGCAGTAACATCTTTAAGGCATCTGTTGACCAGGTCATCAAGTCAATATACAACTTCACCGAAAGAAGAAAAGTTTACAAGTTGGTTTCTATTTCTCCATTTTGTTCTGTGTCATTTTAGCTATGAGTAAAAAGAAAATGACATAGGAATTACAGAGGTATCTATGAGGATTGTTAGCTGTTGCTTAGCCTCATCTGTTTGATCACTCCCTGCGTCTTTGTATGTTACTCCAACACATTCTCATTCCATATTTTTAACATGTGGTTAATGTTGCGAAATGGTCTCAGTTTGATTAGGTTTAGGCATCAAAAGTACTTGCTGTGGATGGTTTACATTGGAGTTAGTTGAAAGCCCAGGGTGTCTCATAGACGCTGAAGGGTACTGCGTGAAATACTGAAGCTTTGACTCCCTGGGATGATAACGGGCTAGTTACTCTAGAACAAGTTGAGATAAAAATGGTAGAATTAATTTGTAACTGACCCATGGTCAGATAGCTTGTATCTGCGAGTGTAACGTTAGTGTTTGTGGAAATGGAAGCGGTAGCAACGGAAAGCCCAGCGAAGCTGTTAAGAGTAATAAAAAAATAGATAAGGAGCAGAAAGAAGTAGCTGCAATAAAAAATGTCCCTAATAAGTAGCTCAAAAAAGCAAGAAATGAAGAGGAGGATGTCAAGCTAGCCAGTGTTAGCTTGGAAGTATCGTCTACTCTACCAGCTACGCTCAGCCTCAGTAAGTTAACGTTAGCTAACTTTAGCAAAGAAACGGAAAAAGACAGAGAGGACGCTGGTCAGCAAACAGAACGAGGTAACTACACCTCAGGCTCAACGGCAGTGGCAGGCACCATCATCTGCACTATGGATTGATTACAGAGAGCATCTCAAAGGCATTTCAGCCTTTCAGAATCTGGCGGCTAACTGTCCAGCATCACAGAGGGGTAACGAGGAAAGACATGCTATGATATTATTATTACATAGTTACCGTCCACCAAAAACATATATAGCTTTGCTTGTTGCTAGCTGGACTTTGAGGACTTGATCGGCCACTGTGCGAAGAAAAAGACAAGAACATAAGAACTTCTAAAGGTGAGACCTGTTATGCTATCTGTGAATATTTTTTGCTGAGTTTATATGCTGTTTGCATAACATGTGTATTGCGTCATTATGGTGTGATAACTGCCATAAACCTGAGTAAGAGTTAGTTTGTCAAGTGCAGTATATGTTGGCTTTTGGAGTGTATGAAGTTACCCAGCTCACTTAGTGACAGTTCTTTTGCAAACTGCACCCAGCAGTGTTGTGGTATGACGTTGTATCTTCAGTCAGTCATGTGTCAGAATTATTAGTGTGCTTTCTGCTTGGGTAATTTTCAGTGAACACTATTTTGCCATAGTCTTGAGCCATACAATGCCTTGAGATTAATTTATTTTATAATTGTACTGTGATTTGTGATTGAGATGGCAGTACTTGGTTTATTGAACTGGACAGGCAGACTTGCTGCCCGCTCAGCTGGACCAATCATTCAACTTTTCACCAATATGTGTGTGATTTGACATGCTATCTTGGCTGGAAGTTAAAATAGCCTGATTAAGGTGGGCCTGAGCATTGTGTGTGTGTGTCTGTGCGTGTTCGTGGAGTCTGTCTGGTGGGGCAAAGGTTCTATCAGGTGCCTATAGTTTGCTGGATGTCAATAGCTTTGTTATCAAGAGTGTGGGTGTTAGGAATGGGGAAGCTTCAGTGCCCAGGAGCCCCTAGGGGTACTAATCTGGCCTTGCTTGTTGCTGTAAGTCCTCCCAGTGAAACAGCAAAATATGATGTTTGTCCAAGGGCGTCACATTGTGTTGAAAAGTGATGGGGACATAAGGGTTCAGATTCAGGGTGTGGTGATACACTTGGGTCACAAGAAGTGACTATGCACAAGAAGACTAGACAATTTGTAACACTAGTTTGAAAAAATAAGATATGCTGAAATATGAGCAGCAAGTTTGGTCCTCCCCAGAAAATTGGAGCATTAAACACTTAATTTCCTGCATTCTGGAGACAGTTTCTGCTCCCATTTATGGTGAAATGTCTGTATTTATATAGAGGGAAACAAAATTCAGCTGGCAGGTGACAATTCATAAATATATTTTGGACAATGCAAATTTGTTTTTTAATGAATTTGTCTGTGCCTCCCAGAAGCGTTACAAATCAATGTGAAAAAATAAGTCTATTAGGTTTAGGCACAACAATGATGGTTCGGGAAATATTGTTTGGTTTGGGTTGAAAAACACTTTATTAAGGTTAGAGGAGCTTCATTGTCAAGGTTATAATAAAACGTATGTAGTTTTGAGGCACTTGCTGAACCGACTGATGCTTTTATTTCTCTTGGGAGGACAGTCTCGAATTTCCATCATTTTCCATCACCACAAATGGACCCATTAAAGCACAGACAGCTAAAGCTAGCTAAAAAAATTTAACATCTAGTGGGAATCAGTGCTAACCTTAGCAATCTGAAAGTGGAAGCTAATTATCCTAGCTTCCATTTCCCGTGTGGAATACAAGCACACTCTAACAACGTGATGGGTCCTCTAATCACATGCATGAGATTGGATATTTCAATACAGCTGTGTCTGTTTTGAATTTGATATAAAATCCCAGTATGTGAAACTGGAAATGATGCCACAACACAGTGAGGAAGTCTGTAAAGCTTTAAACCATTTCAATCACTGTGCTGAAATGTACAGACTGACATTTACATAAAGCAATTTCTAACAGCCTTTTACGTGATGGTGTGGCTATTAACATGTGTTGCAGTGTGACTAATGAATCATGCTACAGGTATACTGAATTTATTTAGTGATAGGCTTGTGCAGTAATAAGCAGGGAAACCATTGTTCTTAGGCATATCAGGTGGGAGGAGAGTATTCTGAAGTGAAGCTGCTCCTCCCTATTTCTAATAAGATATAAGAGTCTTACATGTTAAAATTGTTATCTGTGACAGAATTTTTAAATTTAGTTTAAATGCATGTTATGCATTTACAAACCCATTTACCCAACCAGGTCCTTGTAATAATACATTTAACCTTGGATTCATGAAGTAGAATCTAGGCAAGACAAGGCAAGTGTATTTGCACAGTGTCGCACCTTTCAACAACAAGGCAATTCAAAGTGCTTTATATTAGACGTAAAAGACATTAAGATAAAAATGAGAGAAAAAAAATTACAGTCTATTACTTTACCTGTTTTTGTTCAGCTTTGTTGTCCTTGTCCTTAGCTGTATATTTCTCTAAGTACATTGAGAGCAATAAAAAAACAGTCTAATTCCTTGTACATGTACACATACTTGGCCAGTAAAGCTGATTCTGATAAAAAATTACAGTGCATTTACAGTGCAGTGCTAGATCTGAATAAACAGCCCCACATTTAATTTAATAAAAGGCAGTTGCACACAGAAAAGTCTTAAGCCCTGATTTAAAAGAGCTGAGAGTTTTCTGGGAGTGTGTTCCTGATATGTGGTGCATAAAAACTGAATGCTGCTTTTCCATGTGTACTTCTGACCGTGGGGACAGAAAGTAGACTTTTCCTAGATGAGAGGTCTGGGCGGTTCATAGCGGAGCAGCAGATCACAGATGTATTTTGGCTTTAAACCATTCAGTGCGTTATAAATCAACAATAGCATTTTAAAGTCCGTTATTTGACAAACAGGAAATCTGTGTAAAGATCTTTGTAAAATCTTTCTATAGGATTAGGATAGGATCACCATGGTACATGGATAAGAATGTAGGAGGGACAAATGTTTCTGTTTAAGCCATTTGTTGCCATTATGCACACATTAAGAGCAATAGGAGATGATGAGGCTTGACGGTTATGTTTTTTTTTTCATCACACACAACCAAAGGTGTAAGTCTACATCTGGATCACAGAGATGGAGGGCCCTCACGTGTGGTTTGTGTTGCTGCCAGCCAGAACAAAGGGAATGGGTGGAGCTTATAAAGTAGACCATTGATTAGGAGTGAGTGAGATCAGGTGAGATTGGGTAGGCAGAGGGTTGCTGAATAGTATGGCTCAGTTCTACGATCTTAGTGAGGACTCTAGCAGCAGTGTTCTGAATCAGCTGCAGTTTCTGATTGACATGTAAAGACAGAGTTACAGTAGTCAAACATAATGAGGATAAACGCATGAGTGCAAGTTTTTCTAAAGCCTGCTGAGACATAAGTCTTTTATTCTACATATATTCTTATGGCTATATTAGGCTGATTTTGTAAGTGTTTATTGTGGCTATTTGAAATTTAGTCCATGACCACACCCAGATCTGGTTTGATTTGTGGTGTTTAACGTCTGAAGCTGAGCAGTGACTTATAATCGATCTTCTTCTGCTCCAAAAACCGTTATTTCAGTTTTTATCTTTGTTTAAAAGGGTGGGGTATGAAATTCTAATCCAATACATGTCTTTTTGTCATCTCTGTAAATGGAAAACAAAGTGGCTCGAACTGAGTTGCTGTGATGTTAGCTATAGTAGCAGGAGCTGGTTGCCTGGCTCTGGGTAGCGTCTCCTTCTCTGTACATGTTAACTTCACAGCTAGTGACAGTTAGCTAACCCACTACTTAGCTAACATTAGTTACATTGCTTGCTGTGTCGCTATTCCCTCATGGTATTTGTCATATATCCCGAATATGATTTGTTGATGAATGAACTTACTCAGTGCTTATATGGTACCATAGTCACCTGATGATGTGATATGTGTCACTTTAATAATTATGAGATGTTTTGTTGTGTTATATAATCTGGAGTTATCGATCGAAACAAAGTTGTCCCTTTCATTAAAATAGGAATAAAACCAGTTCAGCCCCTTTCCAGAAAGTCCCACACAGTTTTCTAGCCTCTCTTGTAATATATGCCGAATGCAGCACTGAGATCTAATCAAACTAAAAGTGAAATCTTTTTCACTGTTTGTGTTTAAGTGGATGTCATTCAAGACCTTAACAAGAGCAGTCTCAGTGCTGTGGTTTGATCAAAATCCTGATTGGAAAACATCAAAATAATTGTTTAGTGCCTGGAAGGTGTTCAGATGTTTCATTTTGCTTTAAGTAGAGAGGTTTGATATGGGCCTGTAATTGTCCAATAGTGAGTTGTCCAGACTTTTTAATAACTGCAGTTAGAAGAGCCTTTTGGAAATAGTGAAGAAAAGTGTATATTTTATATAAAAAGTATATTTGCAGAAACTCTGATGCCATGCAGTTAATAAAGCCTGTAGATAGAATATCAAGGCAGCAGGAGGAGGATTTCAGTTCCAACCAGAACTACACAGTCAAAGTCAATGCACATGATAGACAACAGTTCAGCAAAGTCATCAAACAGGTTTGCAAAACATTTAGGTGGCCTGTAGATGTTTAAAAAGAGGCATTCAACTGAAGAGCAACACATTCAAAGGAAGCAGTCTCTAGTCATTTATTTATCCTTTTCCTTTTGATTTGTATAATTAAATATTTTAATTTCCCTTGGATAACTTTTTTTTTTATTGGGGGTTTCTATAAGTAAATATTGTGCTCTCAATAGGCTACATGTTAGCATGTTGATGTGGATCAAATGATTTATTAAGGCCACATGGAGGATTTTGGCGCCTTGTCTGGACCACTTCAGTTTTTCATCCTTATGTCTGTCTTTGTCATATGGCTTGCCTAAATATTCCACTGCACTTGTCAATACTCTGTATCTAGTAGGCAGGGTCTGTTCCCCACCCCAAATTCTACATGTGATGATGCAAGCACCGGCCAAATGGCAGCAAGAAAGACTCATTTTAGCCTCACGATGTGATATAATTCTGATATAATTCTCTTTGCCAGATAAGAATGTGAGATTTTGAAACCAGGAAAACTGCAGCTTTTCTTGCTATTGTTCTACAGTCTCATCAGATAAAGTATTATGGGAGGAAGAAGATGCTGTCTTTTAGTATGGGGAATTGATTGAGATACTGCAGAAATGTGATGTGGTCTTTTAAAGCGCTATGTGATAATTAGGCATAATACCAACAGAGTATCAGATTTTACAAATGCAGTCTACTGCTCTTTTAATAACACAAGTATGTGCACAGATACACAGATAACAATGAGTGGAATGGTAGCCTAATTGTTGCAATGAAAGGTAACATGGAGTTAGCATGTTTGACGAAAAGATGAAGGGACAACAAAAACACTGTAATTAATGCTTGAAGAAGGTAGAAATTTATTTCTAATTGTCAAAAAACAAAAAAGAGAAAAGTAAATATGAAGGGAAAATGTATGATTAAAAGGAGAAACTCACCAAGTCAGTTTGATGCTGCTCTTCTTACTTTTAACAAAGTAAAGCTATACTATAGAAACTGAGTTTTAATAACGGTTCTTTATTTTTTACACTGCAAATAAAGTGGAAAATGTGTGAAAATCTGCAACTGTTGACATTTGAACAGTTTAGCATGTAGACAAAAACCAACATAATGTTACAAAAATGCTTGGTTTTTCCTTACTGTATCAACATGGTTTTTATAATTTCCATTCATTAAAAAGAACGAAAATTGGACCTCTTCTTGTACCTTGTACTACAGTTTCTTGACAGTGAGTGGACAATTCGATGTACCATTAGAATTATAAATTTTAGGGTGTTCATCTAAGATAAAAGCTTTGTGACATCAAACGGTCCCTTCACTCCAAGGTCAGTGGCACTCAAAGCATTAAAAACTGACATTTGAAAAAACTATCCCCAAAACACTGTACACTGTTCACTGTAGAGTGTGTGGACTATCCTGACTAATTGGGGTATTGTTTCTGGAAAGATACTTTGATGTTTAGTTTTCAGTGCGCCATTAATTAAATGCAATTTACAACCACTGTTTTGGTGAGTGGGGAAAGCATGTTTGTTGTTATTTAGATAAACTGCCCCTTTAAAATTAGAAGCACTACCAGATGTACAGACAAAATAACCTTGTAGACTTTAAATCTGAAGATTGAAAGCTCCATCATATTACCAGTTAGCAGCCTTTATTAGCACTTTGATATGTGTATTTTTAGAGCAACATGAGACAACTAACTGGGCTTCACCCCAGGATGACCCATCTTTATTGAGTTATTTCATGTTTTCTCTACCCTCTGAATATTCTGCATTGTAGGTGTTGATGATGAAAGGGGCCCCTTCAGGCAGATATAACACTGTAAAACAAATCTGTCATGCTAGACATTTGCCTCTTTCTGTCTGTCTCTCTCTCAGTCCTCCAGTCCTTGATATTCAGATCCCAGGGGTCTGCTTCTAGTCAAACCACCAGTGGGGGAATATCACCCGTTTCCTTACATGTGTGGAGCGAGGATGCAATTTTTAGTGCCAAAGTGTTTTTTAGGAAAGTAGGCCAAGAGCATGAGGATTTTTTAAAAGACAGAATGACAGAGAGACACAGAGGGGGAGAGGAAATGAGATGTGTAAACAAGAGAGTTTCCATCAAATTTGTGACGTTTTGTTTTTTTCTTGGCGGGACAACTGTCACTCTTGTACACGTCGCCTTGTTTTACTGAAAGAAAACAGACAACAGACATGAGGACAAACTCTTTCTCTTTGATATTTCCTTACTTGTTCATTTTCTCTGCATATGTACATCACTGTCTCTACCCAATTTAACGCGATAAAAATTAACTAAATTTAAAGGTCATGGTTTTCAAAAAATAATATAAACCTCAAAGTGGTTTACGTTAAGTATCATGTACAATACGTATCACTTGTAATCTAGATACAAATACATAACTCAGAGTAGTAATTATAGTATTGTAAATACGGAGTAGAATAATGTTGGTGAAATATTTAAGCAGTTCATTTTCAGTCACTGTCCCTCAGGCCTTTTCGGTCTCTTTAGTGTGTAACTGTCATCACAGTCACTATAGTCTCTCCCTTATCTGTCTAAAATGACAGTTTTACACACACACACACACACACACACACACACACACAATCACACTTTCAGACAGTGAAAGATTTTTGCTGAAGTTAGATGTTAGTTCTTTGTCAAAAACAAGATGAGACTTAGGAAAAGTGTAGTTCACTGGGGAAACAAAGAAAAAAATACAAGTGAACAGACAGAAATAAGGTACCATGAGGTGATAAAATACAATTCAAGAAGACTGGTTTGACTACTGTAATAGACACTGAACGGCAGTTTATAATCGCAAGAGGCAGGATGTTACAACCCTGAAAACTTTCCATGGCGTACAAAAAAATATTCTACCATGAATGTGAGCTTGCAAGTATGTCATTAGCCAGCTTATTGCATTTGCGTAATTGCAAGACGACCCTGCGTCCTTGAGCACGTTCACAAAACAAACTAAATAGGTACTCGTAAAAACATCGTTAGCGGCATCAGTTGTCAAGAACTCCTGACTAAAAGTTACCTTTAACCAAGTAGTTTTAGGGGCTTAAACTGTTCCTTAACCATAGAGGAGATTGATCATGATTCTTTTTTGGAAAGACCATTTGTAATGGTTTTGATAAACAGTGACAACGCTTTTGTCTTTCAGTTTGTAGAACAAATCACACCACTGAAAGATACTATACAGCTACTGTGATAGGGGAAAATGATTTAAAGTAAATGTTGACTTTTGTCCTGTTGTTAGGCAGTACTATTCCCAGCTGTAATGAAAATATTGCATGTAGAGTGGAACGGCAACTGCAAATAACAAGAGCGCGAACAGAGCAAACAGAGAAAGTGAGAAGACAGAGAGAGAGAGAGAGAGAGAGAGAGAGAGAGAGGGAGTGGGACTGCTGTAGCCACAGGAGAGGTTTCATTTAAAAACACACAGCCGGCTTTCCTGTCCAATTCGCCAAATTACTGACGGCTGACTCTCCCCCTGAAGAGAAGAGGAGGGGGCTGAGATAGATGGACTGTGTGTGTGTGTGTGTGTGTGTGTGGCGGGGCGTCCGACTCATCTCATTTAAAAGAGATCTCTCTCTCTCTCACACACACTCATCCGCTGAAGTCAGCCCTCTGAAATATTTACTAGCCTCATGTGGGGAAATCTCTACGGATTATCCCCAATAACCTGTTTAACTTAATCCTTATCTCACACACATGAATAATAAATCCACCCCCCCCCACTCTCTGTCTCTGTCTCTCTCTCTCTCAGAAGGACTCAGAAGTAACGCCTCTCTCACCTTATTCTGCATCACCCTCCCTCCCTTCTTCACTCTCACACACTCACTCCATCTGCTTCATGAACATGAGCCGGCTGCTTTCTCTGCCTCTCCGAGCGTCTTTGAGCTGTTTTGACATATGCGCTCCCTCACTGCTTCTCTGCCTCTTTCTTTTTTCTGTCTTTCCACCAATCCCATACCTCTCCATCGTTTCCCCCTCCAGGACAGGAAAAGGAGCGGTAGCAGGGAGCACCAGCGAGGAAAACTGACCACAATAACAGGAAGAGGAAGTGGGCAGTGACCTGTATGAGGACTGTGGTCTGACAGCTGTGGTTCAACACTTTTGGCCACTGGATGAGAAAACCACATCAGAGGCGACAGGACGAAAAAGAGCGAGAGAGACTCAAAACTTGTCGGACTCCTGAGGAAAAACCTTGATACCCCAAGAAGGGAAAACAGGGTGATAAAGACATTTTGGGATGAAATAAACTTTAGAGCTGGAGCAACTGCCTTGGTTTTTCCTGTTTGAGGAAAAAAACCAACAGAGGAAGAGACACCTGAAATTTCCACGAGAGTGATATCTCAGTGAATACCTTCATTTCTTGCACTGGAAATCCAACTCTGGGATACATTTTCATTCAAGAGGCATCGACCCATACTTCATCATCACAGACTTATCCTATTATCTGGTCCACAGACCAGAAAAGGATTTGCACAGAAGCCTGGTAAAAAATCAAGCCGAGAGATATCCCTGCCTGTACAACAACACCTGCTGCTCTTTCAACATTAGTAAACCAGCAGCCAAAAAGAAGAGAGTGTGACAGCGAGGAAGAGACTTAGTTGAATCAGGAGGTGGTTTTGAGCCTACAGCCACCTACCAGCCACTAATTTCTACCAAAACCTGACACATATTAAAAAAGTAACCCCATTGCGGATGAACAAGAGTGCACCTTGAAGAATTTGGGCTTCCTTTTGCATCAAAACAAAGGTTGGATCTTTCTTGTCTTGGACTTCCTATCTGTGTGGTAAGTTTTCTTTTGCTATCTTAGGTTTGGGAAAATTGAAAAGGATATACTGATGGCACAATTATGTTGTGTGTGTGTGTGTGTGCGCGCACGTACCTAGATAACAAGTATGTGAGTAGGTGCTAAACTATAGAAGAAACAAATGTACAGATAGATACATCCACAGCTTTCCTGTTCAGCAAATGGGAGTGTGAATATACATTTCCTTCTAATTTAAAAGCAGTGTATAGCAGCATAGCCAGAAATTGTTAAGCAGATCCTTTGAAAGTGCTCCAGGCTACTTTCCCAGTCACTCCAGGGTGAAATGCTTTTGAATACTGGTCAACATGTCTCATAGAAGGTACCGAAATAACTTGAAATGATGGATATAACCCCTTTAAGGACAGCCACCGTCACTGTTCACATATGCTATGCCAATGATCTTGGACAGCTCGGTGTAGATTTGAATGCTGTAATTGAGCGCTGTTCCCCCCCCAGAGGCTGGGCTGTCATTCTTGAAGACAGATGGCTGTGACCATTAAGACAATACAGGATGATCTGTGGACAGAGCAGGAAAAAGAAATTAAAAGCAAATTGAATTCATCAGGAGGTCTTCAGCTGTTCATTTTGAATAGTTCTACACATTCTGCAACTGTCAACTTGATGTCAAGTTAGTGAGGCTATAAAGGACTGATGATAATGATAATATTTCCAAAGTAGCAAAGTCTTGTCAGTTGAGTGGTGTCATTTTGTCAGCTGAAGACTTCCCTGCTTTACATACACAATTTGTAAAATATCTCATTTTTCATCAGTTTATGCCCAACAATACAAGAAGAGTGGGCTAAACAACACCTTACAATACAATCTAAATGAAACCAACTATCCTGGTGATGACAATTTTTGTTAAGACACTGTTTTAGATGTTATCAGGTAATTTCTGATACTGTAGTTCGTAATGTGGTTGTCATGGATTCCATTACACGGTCAAGTGTTTCTGTTATTTAGTCTACATTCTTCAAGTGAGAATAGTTACTCGGCAGTGGTGGATTTTCTCTGTGGATCTGGATCCATGGCCCGGAGTGACAGAGGTTTGATTTGGTTGTTATGTCAAAAGCCGTTGATGCAAATAAACCCAGTGGTCTAATTCCTGGAGAGGGAACTATCAGGGAAAATCCTTTGGGTGCCATCTGGGAGACTTCAACCTCCCACACACACACACACACACACACACACACAAACACATACAAGATTCATGATTAGAGCCATTCATTCATTCAGATATATGTCAGAATGGTTGACAAGATGTCCAGCTGTGGCAATGTTAGCTCAGCTGAAGTCACTGATTACAACTGAAAGACCCAGTTGGGGTTTTATTTTCAGTGACTGACCTGTGTTCTGCATTTTACAGAATATACCGCACCACACTTATATCACGCTCTGTATCTGAAGATGTTTTAATTTTATTTTTAAAAAATCTGATTTTACATCCCATTCCTAAGGAATGGATCTGTAGGGACATATAATCATCCAAGATCGAAAAGTATATCTGACATTTCAGAAAGCAGTACAACAACATGTCAATGCATAAAAAATGAAATGAAAATGTGCTGAAATTTATAGGGATTTGGGTTGAATATACTTGAAGACTCAATATGGAGATTGTGAGGCTTTCAGATGCTGCTAAATGGCCTGATTGGACAGATTTTTAAAACATTAACAAAAGCCAATCAATGCCACCTGCAGTTGTGATGTGTTGGGGATGGAGACTGTAACAAAAGAGAAATAATAAGCAATAAATGTAACTATTTTAGCAATATGTAAATGGATTATATGATTATTATCATTCAGATCATTCAGTATGTTTTGTATGGACAGGAAAATTTTAATCCCTCACAGTTGGGTTTCTTTTCTCCAGTACCCCCAAACATTTAAACTATTTGGAAATTTCACCTTCAGCAGAGACAGGGGCTGACAGCTGAGCCAAAACCAACGTGGATAACATGCTTAGCTTTAAATAATTTTCAGATGTTGTAATGTCAGTTTTAGAACTGTCTGACATCATTAATAACCAGTTCACTTTAATAAAATCGGATTGTCTGATTGTGAAAGAAAATACAATTAACTAGAAAATGCATGAACACCAATCAAAGCATGAATACACTGGCAGTGTCAGTGAGGACACAGTGTGTGTGTGTGTGTGTGTGTGTGTGTGTGTGTGTGTGTGTGTGTGTGTGTGTGTGTGTGTGTGTGTGTGTGAGTAGTAGCAGTTCCTGGTATGACTCTCTGGCAGACAGATTGTTAGAGGCTGCTCTGTGATTAAACCTGTTTTAATCCCTACACACACAAAAGTATTCAGCAGTCCGACACCACAGATTTGAGGTGGTGAAATCACTTCCTGTTCCAGATATAGCCTACACAAATAAACAAACTCCAGATATGAGGGTAGTAAAAATAGACTAAAGTAAGCTAAATGGTGTCAAAGACATACTTTTGAGATGTTAGAGATTTTTATGTAAACAAAACTTCATGACTGAAACACCACTAGTGCTCATAGGGACTGGGGCTGATGTGTTCATAAGAAAGTGTTGAAGTGTGACAGGATGCACAAAAGCTGTTTTGTTGTTCTTACTAGCTGCAGGCCAAAATCAGTGAAGTTTGACCCCTGGATGGCTCTCCAGACTCCAAGTTAACAGGTTTTCCCTCTGGGGAGCATTAGCAAATGCCATGGCAGTCAGCCTGTTCCAGTATGTAGCAGGCTAACTTGTGTGCAAGTACACATTTTCATATAATGGTGGTGCTAGAGAAAAGGTCATGTGATCATCAAAGTCAACAGGGTTTATCCTCTGGGGACCAATATCCTTAACAAACATTGTGGAAATCCGGCCAGTATTTATCTCCTTTAATATTCTTTTCTTCTTAAATTTTGGTCCAAAAGAGATACTTTAAGAATGTCCATAATGGAAAAGATTCATCCTCTGGGGACCATGAAGAAGCTCAATACATCATATTAAAATCTGCATGGAATTTGGTATGTCTTATGCAAATTTAGATTATGTGTCCTCAGCATGCTAATGGTGATATTGTAAGTTCAGGGGGTTGCCAAGATCGTGAGGAATCATCCACTGGGTACGGTAAATATCCATAGCCAATCCACATACATCACATCATGGCAAACTGGCCAATTTATTTGGCTCTGGACTGAAATGTTGGACAGACAGATGGCCAGATGGACAGACTCACCAACTGACACTCCATTCATGTTTAGACAGAAATATGCCATCTTGTCAAGTTAAAGGACAGAGGGGTCGTGATTTTGTTCTATTCATTCATTCAGATTGTTAGCGAGTGAAATATTCATCTCATCAACGTCCTTTTCAGTCAACACGTTTTTTTTTCATGTCAATCAATGAAATATGTCCATTTTTAGAGCTGTAATTTCTGTAAGTTGACTTACAGCAACATTTATATTTGTATCAGTCAATTCATGCTTGTTGCCAGAAAGAGCTGAATATTTCTGTCTTTAAACCACATAAACAACATAACCAGACTTGTGCATTAACTTCAACGACCCTTCAGCAAGCGCAAGGATTATGAAGTCTTGTTGACTCGTTTCTTTGCTTTAGCCTTTGGTTGACTGAAACTAGGTCAGACCTGACTGCCAGTCACAAAACATCCAGGAGAATGACAACTGTATCTCTGCTCCTCCGTCACACTCACACGCACTCTCTTGCCTGCGGACAATGTACAGATGTAATTACAGATATTCCTGGATGTTATTTATTCTTCATACCTCTGAAAGATGCCTTTGATAAATGATTCCATAAATAACTTTGTATAATCCTGAAGTGAGATTTGCATGCATCTTCTTGATCCTACTCAAGACTCCTCTTGCTTAACATTAGTATGTATACCTTCTACTGATTTAAAAGTAACACCAAAGTATTTAAAAGTAAACTGGAGTTAAATTGCAATTAAAAAAACATGTTAAAGGTATATTGATGTGTTTGTCCTCCGCACCATCTTATAAGGTGCTAAATCTGCTTTTAAGGTGAGGTAGAGAGTGACAGGGATGAAAAAGAAGAGAGGTGAAGGAGAAAAGGTGAGAAAAGGGAAAAGGAGGGATGATAGACAGGAGACAGAAATAGACTGTGAAAAACAAGATGGAGTTTTCACCTTGAGAGATGCAACAAGAGAGAAGTGGAGACATCTGAGAGGAAAGAAATGATTTAAAGAACAAGCAAGAAAGAGACAGAAAGAAAAGAAAAAACAAGAGGAAGGAAAAGAGAGACCAAAGGTGTGTGACAACAAGAGATAGAAAAACCAACACAATGAATGAGAAAAAGACAGTGTGACACAAACAGAAACAAAGTGAACAGCAGACACACTTGCAGGCAGCAGCAGCAGCTGAATACCAGGAAGGGTGTGTCCACTCACTAATGACGACCCTTCATTAACAGACCCTTACGGCATTCCCAGAAGGCATTGTGTTTACCCTTCCTGTTGCTGATAAAACGGGAGGAGTAAGACACTGCTCACTGAAGAAGGAAATGCAGTTTTAAAAAATGCCCTTTTAGGGAAAATGCCCCCAATGGATTTGTCATCACAGAAATAATTGTGTTTGTGGAGGTCAGTCATAGGATGTGATTATATATTTGTGAGTAAGTTGTTATATGTGAGGAAAAGTCTATGTTCGGAGTCTCACGTATCTCAAGTATTTTTGGCTTCTTTGTGTGAAATATTTTCTCTATAATATCTCAGGACAGCTAAATGCCCAATTTACCGAAACATGTTCTACCATTAATCTATTAGAAATAGTATTGCCACAGCAAATGTGTGATGAAGTTCTGGGTGTTATTTTTGTTAAAATTATATTGTAGATAAATTTCTATGCCCATTGGTGATATGAAACTCAATACAGCTTTTAATCGAGTTATATCGACTTGTGTTCATATGTCCCATTTGATTAGGCAAACCATCAACAACATGAGCAGTAATATAACTAAAAACAAACAGATGTCAAACCACAGACAGCAAATCAATTAAAATGTCTGATTCACTGACTTAATTTAAGATTTTGATCAGATGAACAACTGGTGCAAGAATTTATCCATCACATCTCATTAATGACTTCTGAATCTGAAAAATGCTTCCAATCTCTTGCCTTGGTTATCTCTTGCCACAACCTTGCTCACACTAAATACAGTAGGATAGGGCCAAAAAGAAAACAACAATTAAATGTTTTACTTCTAATACCAACTATCTTAAACACACTTTAATGAGTCTCAATCAGATGTCTATGAAGATTCTCAGTCATCCAGGTCATAGTTATCCAACGAAGGTTAAAGTCAAGGGCAACTGGACTTGGTTGAAGATACTGGAAGACGTTTCGTCCCTCATCCAAAGGACATCCAAAGTAGTCCTTTGGAAGAGGGACGAAACGTCTTCCAGTATCTTCAACCAAGTCCAGTTGCCCTTGACTTTTTGGAGACCTATGTTTTTTTTAAGGCACTTTGTGAGAACACATGAGTTAGACAACTCAACTTTCATAAATACAGTACATCACTCTATGTACACAGCAGGGTGTGATTGCTTTGTTTGTCCAGAACATGTTGAGAGGAAGGATATGGGTTGACACGCAGTAAAAGCTAAGCTGGGTAAGAAGGACTCTGGTCTTGGTCTTAAACAGTAGCCATATCTCACTGTGACTTGTTAGGGTTTAGGAAAGAGTGGAATGTTTGAAGAAACCATATTCACTCAATTATCATTAACTTATGTAATAAAAAGCACTGAATGGAAATGGACAAGATTCAGCAGCATTAGAGTTAACTGAACTCAACTATTCGAAGACATATAAAAAGAAGATTTTACAGCTGAACGAGCTCAAATACATACACAACTGATGTCAGAATGAAGACGGAAAGAAATTATCATTCAAGATATTGCGTTTTGAGAAAGTGAGTTTATTAGGAGAGACCAAAGACAGTTAACTGTAAGATTAGAATATGACATATCAGTTTTATTTATGTGAAATTTAATATTTTATCTATAAAATACAAATTTAATCAAAGTTAAAATGAGAACTATCTTTTCATTGCTCTTCCACTTCCTTACATCCTAGTTTCCCGTTGTCAGGATGGTTTTTCCCACACGGAGGTCAATGGTAGAAGCAACATAGGCAGCTGCCAAGGGTTCGATTGGCACTACCCTCTTATACCCCTTATTCTCAGAGTCATAACTAAGACAAAAATGCACATACAGCCATGACACATGTAATGGAAAGGTGTGACATACATCAATATATAAAGAGTTCAGTGCAAATTGATGAGTGTTGCTTTGAAATAATGACGTGGAAAAAAGTGTTGGAGTAAGAGCAGCAAGTGAGATTTAAGTATTAGAAGGAAAAATATTTTGTCATTGGTATTATGATTTTATTAAGTTGTCTCTGCTTTCTGTTAATTACCATAGGGTCCAACAGATATTTTCTGGCACTAAACATATGTCTGTAACCACTCACACTTCCATTCAGAAGTCCACAGAAAATTGCAATAAAAGATGATGCACTTCTGTTTAATTAATTTAGTCCTAAAAGAAAACTAAACAAAGAAATACACAAGAGGAAAAATAAAACCCAAACAAAATGATGTGAACTAAAGGCCAAACAACACTGTTGAGTCTTTGTTTGAGATGATTTGTGGGGAGCCGTGTGAAGAGGTCAGGGGAGGTCAACAGAATACGAGATTAGGCCATTAGAGGGAGAAGATTTTGTGCCAGTATAATCCCCTCATCATAATCTCTCTTTCACCCTCCCTGCTGCTAATGGCTGGAAGACAATAAAATGCACTAATCTGTCTACTGGCATTGCACAGGGCTGCATTGAGATATCTACTGGAGTACAGAGCACATATAGACTAAAATGTTTTGAAGATTATTTCCCTGGCATTTCTGCTTTATTAGATAGGGCCCGGTGGGGGGAGACAGTAACCATGGGGGAGACAGAGAGACAGACAGAGAGGGTGAGACCGTAAGAAAGAACAGAAGGAAAAGCTGCTAAGTTTACTTGACTGCTGGTGTTTATGCGCCTTATACATTTATATTTTGGTTAAATAGTGCTAAAGTGCCTTGCAGGCAGGAGCAAGTGATGCAAGGCCGTGTAACGTCTCGTAATCAGTCAAAAGCCATAAATCCGACAAGGTTTGGTTTAATTTTTAAAGGTGATTTTACCAAATTTCAGCTTTAACATGAGTTCTACATTTTGGTTTAGGCAATTCAGTCTGTTTTGGTTGAGGAAATGAATATTTTGAATCATTTGTGTGTTACGGTGCATATCATGTGAGTGATGTTCATGATGTAACACACCACAGATGTTGTGAGAAATCTTTTAAGTAGTTAGGCAGTGAGACAGCCTTATTTCTGTCTGAGATCTTAAAGTTTGGACTCTAACTGGTTTGATGCACATTTTTGGCTTGTCATTTAAGTTAACTTCCCAACATTGTGCGATATTATAAAAAATACAGTTGAGTAAATGTCTGTTGTGAGATTGGCTTGATTTTGTTAGTGTTTGTCAGTGGGTTCATCACTTTGGTCTGGACAGAAATATCTCAACAACTACAGGGTGAATTGCCATAAATTTTGTACAGACCTTCATGGTCCCCTGAGGATGAATCCTAATGACTTTGGTGATCCCCTGACTTTTCCTATAGCGCCACCAGCAGGTTGATGTTTGTGGTTTAGAGTCTTTTGTCTCGACAACTGTTGAATCAATAACTTTAATGCACACATCATGTTCAGATCATGTCATGTTCATTGTGAACTTTGGTGATCTCCTCTAGTGCCATGATCATGTCAAAACAAAATGTCCACTTTGTTTATATATTATATTGGTTTTCTTTACAATGAACACTATGGCCTTTTATTTCGCCGCATGGTGTTGAGACAAAAAATATTACTGCCTTAAAAATAGGTTCTGTGTTCGTGTGTACTTGTTGCTATAGGTAAAGCTGAGAAGACAAAATACACTTTTACAATTACAATTACAATTACAATTATAAATCCATAAGTTTGGAGGCATGTGTGATGAATATTTTTTGACATATTGCTTTAAATGATGTGCAAAAACTGACCTTATCATTTAATCCTAGATTTTAAGAACTTGAATCAGCAACGGGTCCACACACTGTAGCTCCCCTAAGTGCAATATATTTGCACATCCACTGGTGACATCAGCAGCAAAGCCCACACTGTTCTATACCCAAATCCTCTCTTTTCTCCCCTACAATTTGAAAATTTGGTAAAAAAGAAACACCAATCAAAAATTCGAAATGTCAAACAGTCCCTTTATGGAAAATGGCATTTCTAATGGCTGATAAAGACAGGCATCCTAAGTGGTTTTAATGTCAGCTCCCCTCTCCGTCTCTGTCTGTCTGTCTCTTTCTGCGTCTGTCTCTCCCTCATGCTACGCCAGTGGGTCAGGACCTAAAATGGGTCACAAGCCTATGTTTAATAGATCCCCATATGACCACGGTAGTGATATGCCTCAGCCCAGGTCCCATGATGAGAGGCTAAATGTTTCATTTGGGTCCCAGGCTGAAAAGGTTTAAGAGCCCTGGTCCTAAATGATAGCTAGACCTCGAGCTCAGCGTCGGACTATAAGGGGACAGTGAGTCCTTGGCCTTCACTCTGAGTCTCACCCTGGCACAGTGAAGGGGTCTGTCCACGGCTGATAAGTGGTTTTAATGTGATCTCCTCTCTCTTCTTTTTTGCTCCCTCTATCCTCTCTCATTTCCTCTCCCTCCGTATTCCTCTCTGCTTCCTCACATCGCTTATTCTGGTCTCTTCTTCTTCCTTCTCTCACCCTCATTCATTCTTTTACCCCTCTTTTCACTCATTCCTCCCCCTCTTCTTGTCCTTATCACTTTTTGCCCTAGATGATGGCTTGGCTCCAACTGTGGTCCATGGGGCTAATGGCCACGATGGCTTTGTCCGTCTCTCTTGCTGGCACGGAAGATTCTGGCCTTGCTGTGGTAGAAGAAGAGAAGCAAGGCCCTGTTGAGATTGTGAAGAAGGAGTCTCATCCTGTCCTATTCAGGCAGAAGAGGGAATGGATTTGGAACTCTCTTTATGTGGAGGAGGAGAAACCTGCACCCATCGCCTACAAGATAGGACAGGTAGGTTAACATCAGCGTTTTGACCTCACTGTCCAAAACCCACACTTAAAACAATTGAAGAAAATATCCTCTTCATGTTTCTTCCATAGCTTAGTTTTTACATTTTCTACTTCCCATGGCTGTCTGAAGGAAAGGCAGATGTGTATATTTGTCACTTTAATTCAGTTTGATACTGTAGCATGCCGAGAATCTGGGGCATTTACTTGTTGCTAACCAGCTCTTTGAGGAACATCTGAGCAATTTTGCTGAAAAGAAGAAATTAGCTGGAAGGCTGTTGAGTCCTCACCCTAGCAGGATAAAAACCCTGAAACTATAAGACAGTCAACCGTGTTTCTTTTTTCCTTTCACAGCTCAAATCGAGCCAGACAGTGGAGGCAAAGAGCTTTAAAATAGAAGGTGAAGGAGCAAACGACATCTTCACTGTGGATCATAAAGGTGACCTGTTTGTCACCAGATCTCTGGACAGAGAGGAGAAGAACACCTACCATTTAACTGCCAGGATGTATGATGGGAACAACAAGTTGATAGAGGACTCTGGAGAATTTGTTGTCCAGGTGACGGATATCAATGACAACAGCCCCGTTTTCCCCATAACATATAATGGATCCATTAGGGAGAGATCCTCAATAGGTGAGTATGGTTACTACCAGAATCATTTTAAGATCATTAGCAGCTGATAGCCAGTTGAAAATTTGCTCACGTTTCTTGAACGTGTGATGAAATTTTGAGATGTGGGTAAATTAAGGTCTTGTACAGCCCTATATAACATATTATGTTTTAAATTATATAGGTCCACAACATCAATGTGTTCCAACCAGCCCATACTATAGGTGAAGACATGTGACATGTTGTCAAGACCATAAATGAAACAAATCCTTGCAGGACAAAGTTTCTATTGCTGCAAGTGTGTGTTTGAAATTGACCGTCCAATGATAGTTTAGATTAAAAATAGACTACACTGTGAAATGTCTGGGGAAAATGAAACATAATGTCAACGCCTGTCACAATCATTAGTGCATTCTTCTGTGAAGAAAGGCGCATTGGTGACTTAAATACCACAATCTTAGCACATAATCATAATGCATTAATCAGTTCATTAAACAGCCAGGATGTTCAATACAAGAAAATGTGGGCTGGACACATTTATTTTCCAACACTAAACACTGTAGCATGATGTCTTATTGATGATGCAATTTTTCATCTGTTCTTCATCTAGGAACTAAAGTAGTTGAGGTGAGGGCAACTGATGCTGATGACCCCACCACTGCTAACGGAGAGCTCAGGTACTCTTTGATCCAAGACCTATCTGCCTTCGAAATCCACAGCATCACAGGTAGGCTTCTTGCAGTGACGTCCAACATGACTATTACCCTGCAGCCACATTGTCTTTTTCTTACGCTAATCTAGAGGAGGTGTAGCTGTACAAGCTATTTTTACTTGAATATGAGTCAGAGCTGACCTAAAAGATAACACCCTCTCTGTCTGTCTGCCTCTCTCTCACTGTCTCTCTGCAGGTATGATCAGCTGCAAGATCAACACTCTGGACCGGGAAACCAAGAGTCAGTATGTGGTGGTGGTTAAAGCTCAGGACATGAGAGGAATGGCCTCTGGCAGCACAGCCACCACCTCTGTCACCGTCACCATCACCGACATCAACGACAACATTGCTTCTTTCACCAGAGGTAAGGAACAGACTGCTAGAGTAATATGAAAATCTATGGTAATAATTAAGAAACATTTAAGAGGTTGCTCATCTGGACACATTAAAATGATAACACACCTATAAAATATTCACAATACTTTCTTTACATATTTACTGTCACTATCTTATATACACAGCATTTACATATGTTTTCTGTCTGCAGGGATATATGAGCTGCAGGTTCCAGAGGACCACAAGTTGAATGAGAAGATAGGAACATTGGAGTTGGAGGACAAAGATCAGATTCAGAACAAACTTCCCTTCTTCACCATTCCCAGTGAGAACAGCAAAGTGTTTAATATTGAACTCAGCCCTAACAAGGATGGCAACCTCATGCTCAAACAGGTAGGAACGAACAGACGATATCTCCAGGCTAGCACTTTTTAAAGTCGTGTTAAATTCTGTATTTGTAAATCAGCCATAGTATTCATTGCTTTTAGTGTGTCAAGTTGATTTTTTAGTGGGAATACTGAATAATTTTGTAACATTTTTTCCTTTAGTGAATTTGCTTGCTGAGTTGAACTGTGTTTTTTTGTCCGACATACTCCCAAAGCCCTATCAGATGGGCTCGAGTAGCTCTTTGTTTTTACCTCTTTGAAAGATGCGGCACTTCATTGCATTATTTGATAGTATTCTGCAGCAGAGACAAACACAGTGGCTTTGGTTGATCACTGGCAAAAATGAATCCATACACACTATCCTGGAATTAGTATATTTTTTTCAATTATACTGTAGGTTAGCATCATATTAATGTTTTATCAATCTCTACTTTTTAAAATTTGTGGAGATACTCTACAATCTTTTCATGTACACCCTGGTAACTGCAGGAGTACTAGCTGGAGTAGAAGGTCTCAATGCTATAGTTAATCTAAATTAAATGAAAGTGGTTTAGGTAGTGTTACATACTCACGCTTTAATGTTCAGTCCCCAAAAGCAGTACGAACCTTATGTCCAAATAGTACAATATGCTATGTTTTGATGTTTGTTTTACATTGTAGGTATTTAAGTGATGCTTTCAGAGTGGTATGAAACATGCACACAAAAATAGATTTACATTACATTACCAACGTTCTTCAAACATCTGATAGCATAAGGATCAAGGGCACAGTGCCCTGACAGGATTTCCATGAAATATATGATATGTGTATATATGAAGTATATCAGTGTATTGACATTTTCAAAAGAGGTTTTTGGTTATGACACCGTACCCACAACATGGCCACCAATTTCCTAAAAAATCAAAAATAAAACTGCAATATCAAATATTAGATCTTTTTTTCAAGCCCAGAAGACCAGGGCCCGTATTTATCGAGCTTCTCAGAATTACTCATAAGAACACTGCTAAGAATTGAATTGACTCAAAGCTGTGCTTAAAAGTTAGTTATCAAGCATCATAGTCGGAATTTGAATGGAGTTTAGGACTAAATCTTAAGTGTCAGTCAGGATTTTGGATGACGATGTAGGCAAGGGCCAATCACTGAATAGTTTTCCTTATTTAAGAATATTCTCAGATAAATTCACGTTGAGCGGAGAAATTCCTAAGAGGAGTTTATGTTCAACAGACATTTGACAATTAAGAATTTTTAAGAGAATAAATTATGTACATACATGCTACGTATTCATTGGAAATGAAATAAAAAAGTTGATTTTTATATGAGCGCCATCAATTGCACCTACTACTCCTGGGAAGCCGGCTATTTCCATGAATTTTGTTTGCTTCTGTCAGATTACGGGGGGTGGTGTTGGGAAGTCGTTGCAATGAGTGACAATGTGTGGAGCTGTAACTGCCATAATTGTTTCCATGACAATTCGGCTTATTGATGGTTGTGACGGGCCAAAATCATTAGCATTGCTGCATTTTCCCTGTCGCAAATAAACAACCTTCAATTTAGCTGAAAATGTATTGCTGCGTAAAGTTAGTGGTGAGATGACGTCCCTCACCAACTCGCTGACAAAGATTATGGCTGCACTGTCTGACCCAGTCTAATTAAGTGTGTGTTGTCAAATAATTCAGAAACATTCTTCCTCTCCTGTAAGATTTGCGCATGGCAACTCCTAACCACTTGAGAGTATTCATGAGCTGCAGTGAGTAAGAGTGATTCTTAGCTTTGAGAAATTTGATAACTTGCTTTTATTTTTAAGTTTAAAAGTAGGAGTTTCATGAATTCTCAGCACTTAAGACTAAAATGGCACTTTGAGAAGTTTGATAAATACCGGCCCAGGCCTCCTTCTGGTTAGGAGAGCTATTTATTCATGCAGGACTTCTAGCAGGTTTACTTCACTGGATTGTGCTCTTCAGATAAAGTATTTAGGACATCAGAGAGCTGAAAATGTATTCTAATGAAATGAGCTCTGTAATAGCTTGTACCCACGCTGGCCTGGAATTGAATTGCTCCACAATCTACTCTCTCCTCAACTCGCCCCTCAGCTCTGTAGTCGTTCTCATCTTTCTCACAGGCTGTGTTTACTTGTACAGAGTAATCCAGCTATCGGCCACACTGCGGTTAAGGTCTTATTCCTTTTAAGCTGTTTACACATGCCTTTGATACCCTGCGACTGAGCATACCTGTTACCATGAATAATCCAGTTAACAGAATATTCTGTCTACCTGTGGTGTCCCATCCACAGATAAAACATTTAACTGAACAGTAGGCTATTTCTAATACAGGGGAATGAAATGATAATCCAAACAGAAATGTGACAGTAAGCACTGCTTGCAGCCACATATTTATTGACATGAAAGTGTATCTGTAACACTATGCTAGTCTCATTTTGTGCAGAAGTATTCCTATGCACGGTAACATGTTTGACATGGAAGAGAAAGTTGGCATTTTATTGTGTTTCTTAAATCCAGAATGTGAGTTTAACCAGGTTGTTTCAGCTGAGTTGTGACATTTAAAGCCTTTTTACACCTTGTTATAGACAACTGTGCTTGGTGAACAGACGCAGGTGTAAATGCACTGGAGATGAAGATAGGGGATGCATTTGAGCGCATAAAAAATAAAGTGCAAATGCAATGTATCCCCAGATGTCTGGAAATATATAGTTCTGAGGATGAATCCAAATATGGAACACGCTGATTTCAACAATGGATAACAAGCGACATGAAGTGTTAAAGTAAAGACAGCGTTAGACATTAAAGTTACGTCTCAGAAACATTATGAGGAACATGACGTTGAGTTAGTTTACTGCATTTTGGTGAGAGAACAGAGAAATGTTGGATTTCCAGCTGCATCAGATGTAGACAGCATTAATATAAGGTACATGTTAATGAGAGGTAGGAGTCTTCGGGAAACTACTGAATATCATTAATTCAGTGTACCTACTGTTTTAAGCCCTTAACCTTGGGGGTTCATACTAAATTATTTGGCCACATAAACATAGCCAATGCAAGGATTAGAAGAGTTCATAATAGGTAGTCTATGCTCAACATTAACTCAAATCATGATCGAATAATTATTCATTTTTGACTTATCGCGGACTTATGTCTCATTCACCTCTTTCTGGGATCCACAGGCTCTGGACTACGAGACAAAGCACAGCTACACGTTCACTGTCCAGGTGGGAGAAAAAGATCTGCATTTTCCTGCCGACAACGCGAAAAGTGCGGTCACCACAGCCAGGGTAAATATCAGACAAGACATCTGTTGTGTTCAAGCCATTCTATCACCCCACTTTTCATTAATTTTCTTTTAAAACAGGAAAGAAGGAAAAGTAATCAAATGTTAAGTTCAGCTGATTATCATGGCGGCAGCGTACATCACTGTCTGCTTCAGTGGGAAGAAAATGTTTTGTGCGAAAGGATTTGTTGGTTAACTCAACCTAAAAGTCACTGATTTGGAAACTGGAGAGCTGGTAAATGTAATTTTCTTTCTGTAGATACTGTATATTCTTGAGCATCTCCCAACTGTGCCACCGCTCAATCATCAGCTCTACCAGGGAGCCTTTAGTAGGCAGGTCTCAGTCACCATGAGTGACAGAATGAGTACGACAATGTAGAAAAAAACATTCAGTCCTACAATTGCAGTCCTTTTAAATCTTTAACGTTGACCTAATGTGCACAGCTTACACGCCAAAAATGTCTTTTAATTTTTATGAATGAATTTAAATTGACAGGTAAACATCAAGGTGTTGGATGTTGACGAGCCGCCAGTCTTCTCCCAGAACATCTACACTTTCACTGTGGTGGAAGAACGTATTGTGAACTTCATAGGAACAGTCACAGCCAGAGATCCTGACAAAGCCAACAACGTCATACGGTACAATGCAATGAGAGCTTCTAAAAAGAACAAATGATGTTATGAATTCTGAGTAGTGGCTGTTACACTGTTCCCTTGCTCTCTCTGTTTAGGTACTCCATCTTAGACAAGGACTGTCCCATCAGTGTCAACCCGTTAACAGGTCAGCTGTCCACCCTGAGGGTCCTGGACAGAGAGTTAGAGGCCACACACATGTTTCAAATTAAGGCACAGGAGGAGCCAAGTGGTACGTCATACACTTATTTATTAATCCTGTTTCCTTCAAACAATAGAACCTCAGATAAAAAATCAAAACCATGTGTGTGTCTTGAACAACGGTAATGTGCATTCAGGGAGGGAGTTAGAAAGGCCAAAAAGACAGTGTGTTCTCTTGATGTTCACCGAGCAGCTTTTCTAGATTTATTGAGGGCTGGGAGTGTAACACATTAACAGGGATTTTTAAAGATTTAACATATTTCCACAACACCTGGTCGACCCACATGGGAAAGGAGAGAGTAGGCAGGAAAATCACATTAGAGGTCTCTTTGTTCATTTGAAGCTTACAAACCAAACTATATATTTTTAGACCAGCAGTGAATGAAATCCAGAGATCTATTTTAGTGGCTTGTCATGATGTTTAAGGAACACAATGGTACCCTGAGCTTGACAAGGTCCTCGATATACAGTACATGTACTGTACTAAAGATAGTTTCAAAATCTCAGAACAAGAGACAGAAAAGAGACCTGCACATTTATCAAAAGATGAACATTCAAAAGAAATATCAATGATGTAAAATAATTGTAAAAGCTGCCAAACAAAAAGCTCACAAATAGAAATCCTTTTCAGTCACTTGACCTTAATCGGTTCCATCAAAGAAAGAGAGACACACGCCAGATCAGTATCATGGCTAATCACTGTCAGATCTGCCTATTAAGGTAAATAACTAACAAGCTGTGTGAAGTGAGTAATGTTAGACAAAAGTGACAAATTAAATAAACATAGTGCTACAAAAACTTGGAAGACTTTGAGAAATGTAGATGTATTTTATAGAAGTAACTGCTTTTACACATGACTCTGGGGGATTTAAAAATAAAATATGAAGAATTGATTATTTAAAGGGTAATTGTTTCTCCTGTTGGCACACCTGTATCCATCTGTTTTAACAGGATGATTTGTTTTCCCTTCATACTGTGGGCCCGTAGATGCATTAAATGAGATTACATTACATCATATGTATTACATGTAAGGATTATTTAATCCCCCAGCATGCTCTGAAAAATCCCTGCAAGCAGCTCATTGAAATATTTTGTGCATTTCTTTTGGCTATATGCTGTAAGTTGTCAGCACACTGTAAATGTAAATGCTCCGTACTTGTATAGCACCTTTCTAGTCTTCGACCACTCAAAGCGCTTTTACACTACATCTGCATTCACCATTCACTCACATTCATAAACTGAGCCTAAGTGCTCAAACAGAAACTAACATTCACACACATTCATTCACTGGTGGATGAATTCGGGGTTCAGTATCTTGCCCAAGGATACTTCTACATGCAGCCTGGAGGTGCCGGGGATTGAACCACCCCTGTGCTACAGTGCTAAACCAAATTATAAAATAAACCCCTGCAAGAAACACCCATCATTACACTACAGTTAATCATGTGCTGTTTTTTCACCTCTGTAGGTTTGGAATCATTTGTGAAAGTTAACATTATAGTTGAGGACATCAATGACAATAAGCCTGAATTGTCTGTGGATGAGATCTTTGTATGTGAGAACGACATCACTGATACGGTAAGAAGAACACAGTGTTTGCAGTAGGTTATCATATTTGGATATTTTTTAATACAACTTGACTGATATGTCTGTGTATTTCTATTGTAACTACAGACTCTGTATAAGCGCTGCCCTCTTAATACATATTTAGTCATTTAGTCATTATAGTCATTTATTTATTTCCAGTTCCAACACACACACCCAAACTCATGCAAAGTCAAAGGGCTGGCCTCCTCAGTTTGTTGTTATTATTTCACATATCATTCAAATAAAATTTCTTTCTAGGTTAAATCCCAGTCTGGAGGTCTAACTTTAATCCTAGTTTTATTTACTAGTCAGCTGTGGCTCACACAGTCTGATGACAAGATCTCGGACTGTAATTTGCATTAAATATGTCAACAATGTGTGTTAAACTGCATTTTGGTAATTGTGCTCAATTCACTAATATCCTGTATACATGTAGACTGCATTGGATATAAACAAAGTTAGTGTTTATTGATTTTTTGTCTTTCCTCAGGTGATAGGAACCTTGAGAGCCATGGATAAAGACGACCACCCGGCTTCATTCCGTTTCAGCCTGGCCAATGAGAGCTCCAACTTCACCATCAGAGACTATGGCAGTAAGTCTTGTGTGCACCGAGAATATATTTACCTTTCTTTTCTTGCTTGTTGCTCTAAATGGTGCTCGGAGGAAGCACTGGCCTCGACACTTGTTGCTATGCAACAACTGAAACTCCATTTGAAGCACAGTGCTTTGTTGCTCAAAGTTGAAATTATTTTAACTTCTCAAAGCATGCTTTGGTTCTCCCAGCCAGACAGGGGATTTAGAGAGCTTGTCTGAGACCGTAAGTGCTGTCTAGAATGCACAACAGCAAATATTGAAAATAATGAGAGCAAGTGCCTCAGTGGACTTGCAGATGACTTTCTGTGTATCCTAAACTAATCCCAGCTAAGGATGTTAAAGGAACATGTCACACACAGTGCTACTATGGTGCTTATTACCGAAAAAGCGTGGAGGGAAAAAGTGTACATGGAAAACTGCACCAAGAGGCCAACTCTTTATTTGGGAGGTGCATAAGAACATGCATATTTTGATTGTGTGTATCTTGTTCTAATAGTTTTAGGGCTTTTCAGAGATGTTGCAAAACATAACAGAACTTCAATCAACAAAGACTATGGCTTAAATTTAAAAGCTTTATTGATTTTTTTTATTGAAACAGACTTTGGCGTACAGTACTGATTAAATTTTCACTTAATTTATTTACAAAGACATAAAAATAGCTAAATGTATGAAAATTCTTCCAAGCATCTACTGCATCTGACCACTGTATATTTTATATACATGCAAACAAGTCTATAGTCATTAAAAAATGTCAGATGCTGGTAGTTAGCAGGATTAGGCAATAAAAAGGCTTATGTACTGCGGTGTCCTGACTTGAAAGCTAATGTCAGCGAAGCAATGTCCATCACACACAACATAAAAAGAGAGCTTTCTGTTACCCAAAGATTACTCTAAATCCAAAGTAGCATCTACAGTCAGTAGATCCGATGCTATTTGGGAGTAAAAATGTGTAAATATAAATGCACAAGCCATAAAATGCCAGCTCAAATAAACAGACCGTGACATAGATGATGGTGTAAAAACTCTACAGACATTTTCTTTGATCCAGACATTGATATTTAGGCAAAGGTTGGTGCTCTGTTACGTCAGATTTTCAGAGCCTATTTGGGTTATTCAATTTAGGACATAAAATGGCACAAGTAAAACAGTTATCATAATTTTTGATCATCACATACCCCTATAATACATGAAAGCCAGAGGAAAAGTATAACCAACTGTTCTAGTCAAATATTAAACGTCTGAATAGATGAAAGCCTTAGGTAGTCAGATGAAAGATTTAGGTGAAGAGTTACTATTTAATTTAAGTGAAACTTGAAACATACTGAAAGGAAGATAAACAGATGGAAAAAGGCATTAACTTGCCTCATCCATTTCCTCTCAGTTCGTGTCTGGAGGGGTTGACATGTTGAACTGATGGAGAAAAGGAAGAGGAAGACGGAAGAGAGCAAAAGGAAAGACAGATGAGGCATAGGTGGGAGAAAAGATGAAAGGAGGTGAGAGGAAGAGATCTGGATTAAGGAAGATGTGTGATATTAAAGTGAGACCATGTTAAAATGAGGAGAGGAGGCAAATATAAAGGATATATAAAGGAGATGGTATAATGAAGAGCAACAGAGGAAAAGAAAATATGAATGAGTGGAGGGTGGAGTAGAATGAAGAATATTTGGTAAGGAGGAAGAAAGATGAGAGCAGAGAAAGAAAACAGGTAAATCAAAAACAGTAGTATGTAAAAGGAAGGTAGAAAGTAGAAAGGGGAAAGAAGATTTGAAAGGGGGAGGAGGAAACATGGGAAAGGAAATACATGGGATAAAAAATAGCGGAAAAGAGAGGAGAAAAGGATAAGGAATGAAAGAAGAAATGTAAATAAATGGAGAATGAGATCAGGACACATCAAATGTTTAAAAGAAATGGGTAAGAGGAGGAAAAGAGAAACAGAGAAGAGAAATACAGAAGAGGAAATTATTTACAAGAAGAGAAAAGTGAACTAGTAAGATTAAGGAAATGAGTCAAGGAGAGTAAAGAGACAAAAAAGGACAACAGAGGAAAGGAGAGGAGGTAGTTCGTTGATAAGTGCTGGTTGTCAGTGTGAACCTCTGTTCTCCCCTGTGGCTCAGGACTTAGGCCCCCAAAAATCATCTGACAGCGCCTCACATCACTTAACACACAAACACTGCTTACACACACACACACACACACACACACACACACACACACACACACACACACACACACACACATGCAACAAGAGTTGCAAAGTGAGGGCTTTTAAAATATTTATCGACTACCAGCTCTTTAAAACTTGCAAAAACAACCATGCTTTCATTATGGGACATTACTCAAACACACACATGCGCGCGCGCACACACACACACACACACACTCCAACAGTCAGTGTAGCTGCATGGTGAAGTGACAGGAGTCTGTGTTCAGACCAGGCGACTACACAAAGCTCACTGCATTAATACCAGACAAGTGTGAGGAGGAGGAAGGAAAACAAAGAACAGAGAAAACAACTAATGAGATGCAAGAAGAGAACAAAATAGATGAAGAGAACAAAAGAAATATAGAGAGGACAGTGAGAAATATACAGAAATCCAGTGAGACAGGAAAGAGTTAGATTCAAACTAAGAATGAGCAGGAGACGAGACGGAGAAGAGGGATGAGATGAAGAGAGGACAGAAGCTGCTTTCATCTTTTATTCAGTTAGTTAAGGCTTCATCTGTACCCATGTCCTCCCACACACACACACCTTCATGTGTTGTAGACAGTGGAAACCTGATCCCATGAGGTGGTTGCATAAACCTTATTTGGATGTCAGACATTTTGAACTTTCATTGAATCAGAAAAAAACATATTTTCTCACTTAGCTCCAGAAGTATCTTGCCATTCAACTAGTCTGAGAAACAAAATAACTTTTGTGGTGTCTTTGAACAAGCTAATGAGCTTGCTGACTGGTGGTTAGAGAATCTGCCGGCCTGTAAAGCTATTGAGGCCATGATTTTGACTGACTATTGCTAGTATGTTCCCAGCTGGTTAGTCATTCGTTCACCAGGTCGAGAGGACGCGCCACTTTCTGGTGTGATGTGGACTTTCTAAAATGGTGGCGAATATAATTTAATGTGTGCGCTCAAATCACTTCAACAGTAACACAGATTTCTTGAAACAATGGGTCTCATGCAAGAAAATTTCCATTCTTATCTAAGCTTTGTCTTACTTTTTGTTTTTAATGTGTGCCACATTAGATTCAGCAAATGCTCCTAACTTCAGATAAATGCCTTCTGTGCGTAATTGTGTGTGTTCCAGAGAATTGTAAATTAGCATTATTAACGCCCCAATAATACCATATAAGGCTACTCGTCCTGCCCAATATGTCTGGAAGTGTTCATTTATGAAAATGACACCCAAGAGTAAAACAAAGAACTTTATGAGTTCAGAGATTGAGGTTCTACTTTAGGAAATTCATGAAGGGATGTTAATCATTTTTGACAGCATCAATTAAGGACATAGGGTTGGATCGGCTTGTCTGTTAGCTGTGTTGCAGCTCTGACAAGTTTCACATTTGCAGAAGCACAGCCCATGGTTATCTAAACTGCGACAACAACCATTCATCTGTCTCTGCCAATGTATCAGCACGCTGTCACTCTCTACCATGGACATGACGCACTAAGGCATCCAAAAGATTACACTTCCAGCTGACCTTATTACATACAAAGACAATTTAACCTTCAATTGGTGCATAATTTAAGTAATTTTGCAGTTTGAGATGTTCATATTGATATTGTAGCATAATACAATAGCATCAATAGCCATTTAAAATTAATTGTGATTTGAATATTGTCAAACAGTATGTCAACATAATTATGAAGTGTTTATACAGGATGTTCAAACTCAAAATTGCTTTAAAGTAATGACCACTGGACTTAGTGTTTATACCTAAGAGAAAATTCAAAATATGAGAAAATCGAGTAACAAAACTATTCTCACAAGTGGTTCTTGCATTCCTTTGGATAATCCACACTGTGACCTGGTTTCATTAGAAGTATAATTGTGAGATGATTGATATAAGCACACAAACCCTCATTTACAAAACCTGTCCAACAAAGTGGAAATGTATGAGGCAAAGGAAGGCCTGATTTCTTCACTGTAAGATCACTGTAAGATCTCTGAAGGGTGGAATCAGAGTTCAGTTTTAAGAAATGTGAGACAAGTCTTAGGAGGGATAAATTTGTTGAGCCAAGTGATTTACTATGTCTCCTTTCACAAGACCAGTATAATTTGAATTCAAAGTGCAAATGTCAGCAACACACAGGTTGTTTTTTATTTAAACTTGCCCTTAAACCACAGTTAAACTGTGTGTTTCTTTGTCTAAGAGTTTAACAGTGTGTGTTCACAAGGGTTTTTCCTGCCATTGTGTTCTCTGAAATTCCTCCAGCGTCGGGCTATTATGGAGAAAGGCTCTCCCCGTCGTCTCAGCAGGAAACTTCTGTCTACCGGGGATTTGAGTAATGACTATATTGTTGGTCAGGTCTGCTGAGGAGACATTGCTCAGTTCTGCTCAACATGTTTCGGTTCTCTTTGTATTTCTGTTCTTTTGTGTTTTGTTCTATTCCCTTTTAATGCTCTAGGACTTTCAGCATACTGACTTTTGACTTTCAAAATTTGTCTGGCCACCAATTGACCGCATTACGTTTGAATGATCAGTGGCCATTTTGTATTTGGACAGATGTTTCCAGTAACAACGACCTCATCTGCAAAAGAGAGAATACAACGTTGATGCATATATTTGAGCATTTACAACATTTTAGGCCTGTAGGATGCCATAATTTCAGGTTTTTAAAGTGCTGCCATTATCTATAATCCCAAATGACTCAAATCCTAAATGCACCAAACTGACATAATCACAAACGATCTGTCTGCCTTTATGTAACGACTCTCTTCTTCTTCTCATATCTTGTTTTATCTGTGGAACAGACGCTTGCTATATAAATAGACTTTAAAGACTCTGTATACAGAGAAGGTGAACATTAGATCCGCTTTACTGAGATGAAGTGATGAGTCAGACAAATTAGACATGGATTTTGCAGAAAGGAAAGGTACTTTTGTGTTGTGAAGGTGGTTGTCACTTACTGTGTATATTTATATACTTCTTTCTTAAGACGGCACAGCAGACGTCATGGTGAAACACGGGCCATTCAGCCTGGATGACCCCAAGGATTACAGTGTGGATGTGCGCATCAGTGACGGAGGACGACCCATCCAGACCAGCATCACCAAACTGGCAATCAAGGTCTGTGTGTGTTTTTGTGTGCGTGGGCTGTGATGTACAAAAATACTTTTAATACAGTGAAATAGTTAATCACATGCAGTGTATAGTTTAGGTGACAGTAAATGAATACTGCTTGATAAATCAATTCATTTCACTTATGTACTTATTGATTGTTTGTACTACTGGTTGTAGTCGTGTCGGTGTGACGCCAGAAGGGTTTATACGCATTGCAAAGCTGGCGCTCGGAGGATGGGAGTGAGTGTTCATGCCCTAGTAGCCATTCTGCTCTGCATACTGACCATACTGGGTAAGTTTAAGTTTTTTTTCCCTTTCTTTTTATCTCTTCCTCACTTTCCTCCTTCCTTTCTTTCCTTCTTTAACAGTCTCTATCTTTGGTGGAAAACGCTCATTGCTGAAGTTTTTTGAACAGCACTTGTCAGAGATCATCTGTCAGGGTTTTCATCAGGCTGGAGACAATCCTTTTTTTATGCTCTTCCTAAGAATGCCTGAAGAACCTTTCTTTTTGGTGACCGTTTTTTTTCATCTTCAAGAGCTCCTTAAAGGGAAACTCAGCCAATTTTACACATCAAAGTCTGTTTACAGGTGTTAGGGTGTACTGCATATGTGGGAAAAAAAGCCTTTTGTGGCTCCAGAGGTAGCTGTGTAAGATCTGATAAATTGCCTCAAGTGACTTTCTTGAGCCAGTTGGGTCTGAAGACTACAAGATTTGAAAATGAAAATAAATAAATAAATCTGGGGTTGTGGAGTTAAAAAGAAGAGAGCTTACCGGACCTCTGCAGCCCACTCCTCATCTCTGCTTGAGGCTGGAGACTACATTAGCCACTATTACAATAACACACACGAATCTCTGACTGAACTGTTGGTGGCCAGGTTGCACTGTGGGTAATGTAGGTGCCAGATTTTGACAAGGAATACAAATGTATTGAGAAAACATTAAGAAAAAAAGACTGCATAATTTTAAAAAAACTTTCCACCATGAGTCTGACTGAATCTGATGTTGTAGGAGTGAAAAGCTAAATTGGTGCAGTATTCTGTTAATGATTCCTAGATTTACTGTATGTAAAAATGCTGTATGCTGTACTTGTTTATCTTTGGAAATGATGAGGTGACACACATCATTCCCAGCGTCTGTGCGTTTATGCTACTGAAATGGAAAAATCCTTGCCAGTAATAAAGCTTGGATGCTGGAAGCACAGATATTGTTGCAATAATATACTGTTTGGCTTGTGAGTTGCAACAGTATGCTTAATGATTTGAAGCTGGAAAAAAACATTTTACCAGTAGCTGAAAATCTTTATTAAAATGAAAATTACATTTTCCTCCAGTGAGAAGGTGATGGGTAAGTGGTGTGTGTTTTAAAAACATAATTTCCTGTTTATTGTGTGGCCAGTCACGCTCATTTGATCCCAGGGACCCGAATGTTTTAGAAAACATACTCTGAACTCTGACTTTATTTTATTTTGTAGTTGGAAGTAGGAAATGTGTTGGAAGTAAACAAATCTCAATCACAATTAAACACAAGTGTATTCCAAACAAGCAGGAAAAATAAAATGCATCACTTCCTGTGTGGCTCTGGGTTTGTTTAGGATTTATTAAACATGTGAAATGCTCACAGTTTGAATTGGTGACAGACAAAAACATTAATTTGTGAGAAAATGTGGATGAAGTCTTGTTGTTCATCAGTCTGTTAACAAACAGGTGCAAAAGACCTTCTTAAAACCACAGAGTTTTTATTCTCTGAGTGGTATTCATGAAGATGGTATCAGTGATAGATGTAAAACGCCAGCACAGACTGATTGGGGCATGTGCACAGATTCACTTGCCCTTGCTTTGCGGTAAATACGGTTTGTGTTTTGTGGGGAACATATCCCCTCTCTTTGTTGTTGGTTTTATGAATAATGCAGCTGCGGATGTGGAAATAATGCCTGCGGTTGTGAGCTCAATATTCTCTTTGATACCTTCACCCCCTGCTCTTTTTTTTCTGGGGAAAAAGAGACACTTGTCATGTTGGATGAGAGGCACGCCGGAGATAGTTGGCCAAACAAGAGGGATCTGGGATGAGTAGTGCTGTGGAAGCAAGGCAAAGAGAAGACGAACTTAAAGATTAAGAGGGACGGAGGCGGAGTGACAGATGGAAAAAAAACGTATATCTAGACTTAGATATGGGAGGTGGAAAGGGGTGAAACAGGCAGACAGATGAGAGGAGAGTGAGACAGAGAACTGAGGTGGAATGAGACCGACTGATTGACAGAGCGAGACAGAAAGAGGTTAAAGAAGAGAGTCACCGAAGAGGAGAATTGTGGGAAAAGCAGCAGAAGAATAGGACTGGTAATGAGGAGAGTTTATCAGCTCTTTAGGTGCCGTCTGCTTATCAAACACCACCAAACACTCAACCTATTAACTATTAATACACTCCTTCACTATCGTGCCTTTTCCCCTCCGTTTTTTCCTTCATCTCTCTCTTTCTCTTTCCCTCTGGGTCTCTCTGTCTCTCTCTCTGTCTCCCTCTCTTCCCCTTTCTGTTTCTCTTTCTCTTTATCAAACACCCCCAACGCAGGAGAGATTAACTATTTAATGCACTTGTCATTATCTGCCAGGACCCAAAGCAATTTACCGCGCTCCCCATTCACCAGCGTATTTTCTCACAAGAAGTCGGGTTTGACACACGAAAAGAAATTTTTCTCACTGGTTTTTGTACAAAGAAAGTGCTTCTTCTTCTTTTTTTTTTCTCTTTTCTCGTCCCTCTAAGTCTGATATCTCCAGAGCTTATTAAACTGCAGAGCATGTGTTGTAAAAGATTAATCTGTTGGTTTCCCAGGCAAACTTAAATTAGTCCCGCTCGCCCTCGACTAAAAGGCATGGCTAATGCTGCCCGTCTGCTGAGAGAAAAAGAGGTTCATATCGGGACTGAGGCTTGGGGCCTAATCTAATGTCAAATGTATCCTTCCTCTCCTCATCTGTCTTCTGTCTTGATTTCCTCAGCCCCGACTTCTCCCATTTCTTCCTCCTTCCCTCAATTGTCTTGGCTGCTCTCCTTATGTGTTTTTCTTTTCGTTTGATTCTTTCTCTTCCTTGTCCTCATTCCTCATCTCTGAAATTCAGGGCGTAAGCAAGAAAAAGTACAACTTAACTTTGTTTCTTTTACCGCACTTCAACTTCAGCTTCAATTTGGACAGTCTAGACAAAAGAAATGCAACAAAGGCATTGCAAAATGGGAAACTGTTCGAACCAGGTTTTCTGTCGTCACATAACCTGTAAATGTCTATTTACGCCTTTGTAAATGTCAAAATCTCTTCCTCTTTCTTTGACCTTGTCGTTTGGTGCTTTTCCCGTTTTCATATTTTTATTACAGTTTAGCTTGAAAGACACACTTTGATTGCTCGCCCTATATTATAGCTAGGACTTGGTTCTTAGACTGATCAGACCAAGGTAGACTGAATTTAGGGCCCACTGGTGTTGACAACCAGGAGATAAAATCACACTGAGTGTGGTCTTCCATGGTTTCTGCCTCAACTCATTCTACTATTTTAAACATGTTTAACCTTTATGACTTTGACAGAACAGTTCATGCCACATAGTAGGAGAAAAGTTTACAGTTGTTATTTAAATCAGGAAGGCAAACAGGAGCACAATATAATTCTCATTCTCATAGGATTTTTTATATGTACTCAGTCGTTCAATATGTGCTCCTTTTGGATGGTAAGACAAAAAAACACTCATCTTGAAGTGTGTTCCCACCTTTATGTGGGATCTTTAACAAGCCTTCCGTATCATGACTAAATACATAACTTCTAACCACAGTTGACACACAGCCTATTACTTTTTCCTGATTTACCACTCCTATCACTGGGACAACCTCATTAATCAGTGGCTTCCAAGCCCATAACAAATTTCTGTTTCAAGTCCGTTCCGTTCTGACACTGCTATGGTTAAGGTCTGATTAGATTTAGGCAGAATCTAATTTGATTAGGGTTAAGGGAAAACCATGTTTTGGGTTAGAAACCAGCTTTTGCTAAATTTTGGAGACAGGAAACGCCGACCCATTCTACTATCATGACTTTCTTCCTCTGCGGACTTTGTGGCTCTACAACAATTTCATGCTACTTCCATCTCTGCTCCTGAAGCACAATAGTCATAATTCTTACAGCTGCTAGAAGTATTTGTCACTAGAACAAATGTCAGTTTTGTGCATTTTCTAATGATTTTATTTTTCAAGACTCTTATCTGCACATACTTGTCTTTACTCTTTTACTTCCTTCCCTCTATTTGCCCTCTCTTCTTCAGCCCTTTCTCCCTCTTTCTCAGTTGTTTATTTATATCATCATATGCCAGGTCCAACTTTTCTTCCCTTTCCTTTCTTTACATCCCCCTTCATCCTGTTTTCCAATTCTCATTTCCACTTCCCGACCTATATTTACTGAATCTCTCTCGCTGCTTCGTATGTTCCCCTCGCTTTTCTCTCTTTGTGGTATCTGTTTGTCTCCGGCTGAGTAGATTCATTTGAGGTTTTCATGCTAGAGGCAAATGCCTCAGACACTTTAAACCATCCACTCCTCATTTTCTCCCCTCATTCTTGTTGTTTTCTAGTCTCATTCCCTCATTAGTGTTCCACTTTCCTAACTTGTTTCCTGCCCTCATTCTTATTCTGTTGTGGTTTTTCTGGCCTAATTTTCTCTAATTTTTTAAAATTCATATAACTGTTGGTCCAGCAGGAGATATTGCAGGACAGTCTGTCTGTGTTCTACAGTGGATGTCTTCAATTTTTACCAATTCTTTCTATCTTTATTTAATGAATAGGGTTTTCACAATTTATATCTTTTATCTTTTATGACCTGAATACATATATTTCCTTCATCTACTTGCTTCTCAGTTACTGATTTCCAAGGATGTCTTTTTGGCAGCTTTAATCTTGCAAAGTCAGACATCACACTGGTACAAATTGCAATTTTCATCTGCAATGTTGAATTTATGATTGGATGCATTGGCTGTCAAAGCCCATCTCATGTTCAGTTTTATTAACCTCTGCCCCTTTTGTCTAAAATAAGCAGATCATTTCATTCAGTTACATTATCTTAACTTGTGTTGCAGATGCTGATGACCGTGCTGTCAAAGAGGATTCACACTCATCAAAAACCTGCACAGAATTAAAAATTTTTTCTCTGCTATGCTCTTCAGTCATAGTGATCCTGTTTGTGATGAGGAAACGCTACCAGAAGGATTCTCTGGCCAGCATGAAGAACAGCGGAGAGATTCACGAGCAGCTGGTCACATACGATGAGGAGGGAGGAGGAGAGATGGACACTAATGGGTATGTAGATGAAAAGAACCCACTTTTATTTAGAGAGAATCTGAATATAACTAAAATAGCTGGGATTGGCTCCAGCCCCCCGTGACCCTGTACGCAGGATAAGTGGTTGACGATGGATGGATGGATGGATGAATATAACTAAGAGAGAGAGCTTAAAGTAACCTGGGAACACACTGGCGCCACAGGTGTTCCAGATCACACCAATCAGTCACCTGTAGAGCAAACACAGTTACAGGTCACAGATATACAAATGACAAAATGGGTCAGTAGTTATGTTTAACATGTAATGCAACTAAAATATTTATTTTATTTCTTGCTTAATTTAATGTTTGCTTCAATTAAAGTCCTACTTTTACTATTTTGCACTCTTTATACTTCATAGAAAATCCTAATCAACTCTCTCCATTTGAAATATTTATTTTCTTCTCCCAGTTTATCTGAAAGAAATCATTAAAGGTTAATCTAGCCCAAATCCAATGTAATCTATATTTAAGTAATATTAAGACCATACATAATCTTATACACTATCCATACTGCACCAAACTTAACGCTGTCAAAAGCTATGATGGTTTGGTAATAGTGAACAATGGATTAAACAAGGAGCAGAACTGAAACCACTTTCTGACTTGTTTTCCGAATGTCTTATATGTTTTAAAAAGATGAAATTGTACTTGCTGGGTGTGAAATTAAATTAAATACTATATCTTATAATCTTAGGTTATCGTTTTATTCCCTCTGATGGCACTTTGCTGTTTATTCTCCTTATTTTGTCGTATTTAGGACAGACACGACACAGACATGGTTAATGTGAAAATGACCCCTTGGAAACATTTAATTATGAATAAAAACAGCTCAGCTCATGGCCCCATGATCCCTTTCTTAGATGAGTTAACCAGCTCTTTGTAAGCTAACACAGTGTTCCTTTCTTTTAGCTATGATGTCTCAATCCTCTCTTCTGCTTGCCACGATGGCTCCCTACTCCGTCACCCGGACCACCACCCCCACCCCTCTCTGTATGCCATGGTCCAGAAACCCCCTCACCACTCTCAACCCACTGCATGTAAGGGTGACATGGCCGTGATGATCGAGGTGAAGAAAGACGAGGCGGATCACGACAGAGATGGCTTCCCGTACGACACTCTCCACATCTATGGCTACGAGGGACCAGAGTCTTTAGCGGGAAGTCTGAGCTCTCTGGACAGTTCGTCCACTGATTCGAACTTGGATTATGACTTCCTGAACGACTGGGGGCCGAGGTTCAAGACCCTGGCCGAGCTGTACGGTGTGGATGGACCTGACTATTACCATCAATACTGATGGAGACCGTCTGCTAATAAGCATAAATGATGCCAAAATACACACACACACAAACATCAGAAACAGCCATAAAATACACTCACACAAAACCAAAAGCATGCAGTAAATACACACACACACACACACACACACACACATACAGAAACAGGCTTTGATGCTGTCCATTTTACAAGGAGACAAGGAGATCCGATCTAGCAGACCACCGTGTTCTCCAACGACTTCTCTAGCTTCTGAAAACAGAATCAGGGAGCTCTTATGTCCAGTGTAACAACTAACTTTTGTTATTAATTGTAATTCAGTGAGTCCGTTAGTATGTCGAGCCTCCCCAGTCTGTTCACCACCATTAATTAAATAGTAAATAAGAGCTTCATCAAACTCCAGGAAGTTGAAGTTGAGGAGTTTTTGGAGGTTCATTTTTTGATGACATGGTTCCCTTTTGCCTCCTCCAATGAGATGCTGGAAAGATTTCTTAAGTAACACCATGACGTGATGCCATAGGATGAGGAGAGGACTAAAGTGTTTCATAGATGTTCAAGAGGATTGATTGTTGGTGACAGTGAGTGTATCACATACATCAATGGATAACTGATGGGTTAATCAGTTCACTGCTGGCCAGCGATGTTAAACAGTTATTCAAATGCTTTGTGTCCTTTTACAGTCATTTCATGTCTCAGCTCCTTTATGCAGCACCTTTTTGCATCCCCGTTTTTGTAACTGTGTTACAGGTAACAGTTTGTATCCGGTCTCCTCTAAAATGAGTCATTTCTGTGCACCTTTATTCATCTACATATTCACCTACCACTAATGCCTATTTCTTAATATATTAATAAACTAAATTGGGACAACTGAACAGGGCACAAAGCCTATATTTACCACAGAAACAATATTTCAACAGTATGCATTATTTGTCTTATATTAAAAGACATCAACTCATCATCTGGATATGAGCTCATTTAAGTATATTGACTAATATTAGAATTTTGCTTAAATGGTTTAAAATGTGTTTATTTCTGTCCTACTGGTGATGCAAAATGGTGCATGTCAGAGCAAGTCATTGTTGATCTGAGATTTTTACCATATTGTCTTCTTCCGTCTGTTACTGAGGGCCTGTTATCTCTGCTAACTTTGATGTGTTTTTTTATATTTGACAAAAGGGCCACACACACGATTATTTTTGATCTGAAGATGATGATTTGATTTGTAAATATGATTGCTTGAGGGGCTTATTGTTTGAGGTGAAAAACTTTGAGCAGCCACAAGAGTTTTAACTCAAAGAGGTTTGAATTGTTTGATCACAGCGAGATGCCAGTTTTGTGAGCTTTATCTGAAATACTAAAAAGGAATGCCTTTAAGGAAGGTTCAACACTGGAAAACTCAGAGCATTGATCAGTCTGTAATGTCCAGTGGGTTATTTTGTTTCATTGCATATAGTTACAGATTTACTTAATTTCCCATCTTGACACATCATCAGGTGTTTGTTAACAGGGTCAAGAAAATGGTCAGATAAGGTGCATCAAAAGTTCCTGATATTTAGCACTGTTCTTCTGTTCTTTCCCCTCTTTGTGTATTCTGAAACATCTGAACTGAATGAGTCATTTTCAAAGTGAGTAATTTTGTCTGAGGAGATAAAAGACAATAGACAAGACAGGCAGAAAGAAAAGGAAATGGCACTACTGCTGCTCAGACAGAATTATAGTGTGTTTCCAGGGTTTATTTGACAGAACATATCATCATGGTTATTGTTGAGATGAAAGCCCAATTCTCTGAGGCCCACTAGGACAAAAGTCATTCAGAGAACTCAGGAAACCCAGAGTGGCAAAAGCAGCTAGTTGGGCAGTTGTGATGGCTCTGAGGTGGCTTGAATAACTTTAACCTCTCATCCTTTTTGGCTACTGTTGTTCGTTGTCCAAAAATGTGATGCTCTTTAGATGAATTTTAGGATATTTATTAAAAAAGGCACTCTACTGATTATTCATAAATAAACTACTTCTTAAATGAAGTCTGTGCCATCTTACAATGAGGAAAAGTTAGAAAGGCTTATTGATTTGTCAGTCATTACTTTATTAATATGAAAAGTCTACTTTTAGTCATATAGGCTACAGTTTGTCCAACTGTTGATTTAGTTTCCATCTTAAAGAGTGTATTATCCCTAAATATGGATACATGACGCTTGTATTTTAGCATGTGGTCACATTATAAACAGGATAGTCCACACAGAACCATACAGTAAAAGTGCACTCCTTGGAGCCGTACTATGACTTTTTATGTATTCAGGCTGCAACTAATGATTGTTGTTATTGTATATCGATCTGCATAGAGCCCAAGTTGCTGCTTGTTTTGTGTGACAAATGCAAAACCCAAAGATATTCAATTTACAGTGATATAAAATAGCAGAGAAACTCATAAACATTTAGTTTCAGAGGTCAAATTAGTTGCCACATGGATAATTTTCGTAATTAATTTGTCAGGTCATTGGCGCCTATTTGTTGTAAGTGAAAGATCCCTTTGGTCGCTGTACTGTATATCCTCTCATAATGTTGAGGATATGCTGTCTACTCGCTCTTTAGTAGCTCTTTAAGTAATCAGGAACAAGTGCTGCCACGAACTGTTTGGCTGGCCAAAACTATTTATCAGTGACTCAGTACCATTTAAACAATAACCACAGACATTTAGGCTTATTGTATAAATTAAGACTCTGAAGTTAAATCATGGCCTTTCCAGTTAGAGAGCCATAGGGCACAAAGGTAAAATGTCCCTCACTGTCATTAGTAAGAACTTATGAATCAGTTTGCTTTATTGTAAAATGGTGCCCATCCCCATTAAAATAGTCTAGTTGACTATGCAATATTTAAATACAATGCTGTGCCATGTTCCCCTCTGCTGAAGACACAGCCATGTGTCTTCAGGACTTTTCTTTTAGTTTTTTAAATTACATTTTTTCTTTCCAGTTTAGAGAATATAGTTTATTTATTCTCCTGTTTATTTTGTTTTGCTTGGACCTGAACTTGTTTATTAAAACTCTGGCCTGTGTGGAATGCCATTTGATAAACGATGGATACAATAGCTGGAAGCCCTAAGAATGCTTTCCTGTTAGGGTCATAATACTTAGAGTAGCCAGCTCTTCCACCTCACTCTCAGTCTTTCACTCGTTCTCCTGCTCTCCTTGTTTACTGCGTCATATCTCTCCGCTCTCTCTCCGTCCTCTAATCAGCTAAACCAAACAGTGGAGTCAACTTCCTGTCCATCTGGGGCGTTGCGCCCGCCCCTTCCTGTCTGCGTTATCTCCTGTGAGCCAACACATTGTGCTCACTTCCCGTTAGCCCGGCCTGGGAAACAGCTTTGGAGAGGAAAAGGGAGCAAGGCAAGGAGAAACATAGGATGAGGGGGTTAACAAGAAAGTAAGATGGAGAGAACAATGTAGAGCAGAGATGACTTTTCCAGCTGAGCAAAAACACTTCAGAGCAAAGATGTGTGTGATGAAACGCTGAGACACATGAAAGCGGAGTTAACATCCTGTTACCCTCGTATCTTTATGAAACAAAGCTGAACACAGCATTCAGAAATCAATAAAGATTACTCACAGGTGAATCTTTGATTCACGATAGGCAACTCCTAACTTTAGTGGCTCCAAGTGGCAGAAAAAGAAAATGTTTATTAAAATAATTGGAAGGACCTTTAGCCTCTGTTTATGCCTCTTATGTTATCATTTTTACATTTCTAAAAAGCGTGCACTGATGTTTACATTTGGATCACAAGTAGACCATTTTTCTTGTCAAAAACAAATGAAAAGACAATGTTTAAAAATCTTGGTGAGGCTTGTGACAGCTCCTATTACTGCTGAAGACATTTGCAAAATCCAATCCAAAATAAAGAGGTTTTTTTTTTACCGGTTTTATAATGTCTAACATTAATTGAACAAACAGTGGCTTACTTTTCTGGCTGCCATCTTAGTTTGAAAGGAAGAATGGAGACTCACCTTGTGAATCAAGTTAAAATTCTACTTCACTGTACACTGGAGGGAAAATGTTTTTTTGTCCTGTCATGTCAGACCTGTTGCTTTCAAGGAAACAGTACTGATTTGTTTTTCTACTTATATTGTGTTATCACCGTTATCATTGATTATAGCTTTTTTTTTTTTAAATGGGTAGGCCTACATGAACAAAAACTTTGTTGTTGAAATCAGCAGCATGTAGCATACGGAGGTGCTCCGTTATCTACTTTCATAACAGCAATAAGTGTTGTGTTTGCTGCGGGAAAATCTGTGACATTTGGAGAGGTAGATGTCTGCCAATTTTTTTTTCCACTTGTTTGGTTCTGTTCTAAAACTGTATGTAAAAAAACATACATATATACATTTCCACATCTAAAACAATAATTATAGACCCTCAGTCGTTAAACACCAAAATATGAAGCATGTGTTTAGACAAGTACTAAGGTTGATGTGATTCCTTTAAAAGTGTCATATTTGTTCGTGTGCTGGCAACATAATGACTTGGGCATGTTGTTTTCGAATGAAACTGAAATTTGTTTCTTTCCGCCCACCATTTAAAACACTCATTTAGTAAATGTCATGTATGCTGTAATTACACAATGACTCATCAGCTATTACACAACATTAACAAATTCATTAGGATTCCTGTATTCTCAAATGTATCTCCATAATCCACTATGTAACAGTGATGCCATTTTGTTGAGTTATCCGGAAGATATTTTATTTTTATTTGTTGGCCATCAATGGTTGTTTGAGAGCATTTGCCTCCTTTATCAAATGGTGAATTGCTTAGGATCCAGACAGTGAAAATAAATCTCTCAGGTTGGGATTCAGGCACACACAAAAAAAGTTGTTCAATCTTATGTCAAGAAACAAACGCCCCATACGTATTAATATGCTTGCTTGAAAAACCAGACCTTTAAGTGATACAACGTCATCTCATCTGTTCATGATGGAGCATTCTTTGAGTGAAATGTATATATTAAAAAAATGTGCCTACAGTAATAGTGATTTTGTTTTCTCTGGCCTCACCTTGTTTATATTTTGCCTCAATTACTGTATTTAGAAGATGTTAACCTTGACATGATCTCATTTTTCTATTGCTGTAAAAAGGAACAATAAGTTGATTTTCTTGAAAATGAAAGAGAGTAGTCTTTGATGTACGAGTGACTGCCCGACTGAATATGTGATCTTCTGTTTGTGTTCACGTGTGTGCTTGTGATTGTATCCTTGTACATACAAAAATGGGTGTTAAACCTATAAAAAAAATAGCAACCACATAGAAAACATTTTCTTCTTGTGTAAATACAGCAAGGGTTTTCAAGGGAGCAAAATGTGCCTTTATTCTTTAAAAAAAATGTAATTAATTTTTTGATGGCGAACACAATGTTTTCTATATTGTTTTTATGGTGTATAGCAACTACTTTTTATTACCTGACATTTTTGTAAGTGTAGAATAAAAATAAACACTCAAATAAGTTTTGTTGTCTTGTGATTGGTGTTTTGAAGTTCTACGACACAAGAAATCAGTTTTGATGTTTTTATGAATCAAACTACTTAATTTAATGGCTATAAGACCAGTATGACCAAGAAAATTCTCTTTTCCCCCTCATCAAGCTAAGGAGGACAACTAAAAAGAAAAAGTGAATAAGAGCAGATGAAAATATTTTCTTACAAAGTAAAAATATTCAGTTACAAAACAAATGTTTGTAGGGATTTAGATTTTAAGGTTGATTGAAAAACAATGACATCATGTGCTGTTATTAGAAAAATCACCTCTCATGCCCATAAAATGAGAGAGTGGAATTTGCTTACATTAACCCCGCAATAGGTCTGGTCAGGTATGTAATTTGTAGCAGATTTTCACCAATAAAATATGAAGTTTGAGAGCTGACATGGATCTGAAAAACAAAAAACTTATATATCACCAGTCAGGTTTCACAAGATCCCATGTGGTGAAGATCAGCTCTGATCCTTTTGTGTAAAATGATCCAATATGTCAATTGTTACACATTGTGAGGTGGTGTGAGCGAAGCTCTGATCACCTTCACCTTGATCTCTGACATGTGATCAGATGTGAGTCCAGAGGATATCCTCTGTTTTTCTCTTTTTCAAACCAAGTGTAAATTCACCACAGGTTCATGCAGTTTTATTATTGTAGGAGGGGTCTGAGCTCCATACGTGTAATCCTTTCCATGTGAGACATGAATATAAGACATGACTGAGTGGACAAGATCACAGGGGTAAAAAGAGAGAGAGAGAGAGAAACCATGAGGGAAATGCCAAAGTGACGTAAATTCTCTCAGTACATCTTGAGCTGACGCCCTGCTGGGACCCACTTCAACCCCCCCACCCCCCCACACACACACTTTTAAATATCAACATAGAAGCATTTGTGACTTTGATCTGGCCAACAAATCTCACTTGAAAATAGGACCAGATGTGCATACACCTTCAGGCTTTGTACAACGTAATGTTATATGTGACCGCACATATACACGTATGTGTGTCAGGAAGCTCAATTAAGTCCAAATACCAAAATTTTTCTTACTGCTTTACAAAACAATCCATGTGACAATTCGGAAAAAGACTTGTTACAATACTTCTACCTTTTCTTCTGAGAAAGGACAGTGAGTTTACTTTTTTTTTCAACTTTTGCACAAAACAACTAATATTGACATTTTTCTAGCAAGAATATACTCTCAAATTCAGACCACATTGATGTTACATGCATTCGATCATATCTGCTAAAAGGTTGGATCTAGAAAAGTTACAGATTCCAGCATGCTTAAGGTTACAACCTTGGCTCAAGTGTACACACAGAGACACACAATATATTATAAATGCCTATTAAATGTACTGAACTTAAAGAAGGAAAATAACATGTTGTGTGGAGATATGAAAAGAGTCGTAGTCTAACGATGAACCAAGTGGATTTGTTCGGTTGGCCAATAGAAACACTGATTCACTTTGTTTAGAAATGGAGAAATGATTTTTCCTTACTTGGAGGATATGGCTGCCCAGTGAAACCCAAGGCCACTCTCAGGTGCATCCAGTTACTCTGACAACCCACCCTGACTGCTGGAAAGGGGAAGAACAAGCACAGCACAGGTGGACAGACGTGTAGGCTGTAAAAATCTAATTCATCCAACCTGGGAGAGCATTTTCATACTCTTACAATAGAGAGAGGCAAAACACATTACATGTGTTTAGATGACACTGGGTGTTTGTCCATAACATCCAAAACTACATAATATATTTCTCTCTAATACCACCTAATCAGGAGCAGGAATGCTTTTAAAAAGCTTTCAGTGAGCCTTGTGAGCTGCACATGCACCAGATTCACTCAGTTATTCGGGTGAGGAGGATGGCTGGAAGATGTGACGGATGTCTGCAGGAAGGAGTGAGTCTGAAAGGAAAGAGAGATCGAGAGAGGAGTGAGACATACTTCCATCTCATCTTCCCTCCTCCCTCAACCTCACCTCAACTTTGGTCTAGTTGTGGCGAGAATGGGACAGGACCAGCTGGCGGCAGCATGCTAAACATTGTGTTATGGTCAAACTACAAAACCCGACTGTTAAACTGAGGCATGGTTTATCCTTGAATACAATTACATGGAGACTTGCAAATCGATAATCCTTTGAAGCCTGATCAAAGAAAGTCTGAATTTCGAAGTGGGCTGCAGTGTGTGTTTACATGCAAAAGGAGTTGATACGGGTAGCTGTTTACATGACTGCTACATGTAATCCAGTTAAAGAATACTCTGCGTCTTGTCAAGAGCTGTTATGTTTTTTTCTGTTAGATTGATAAACAGCAGGGATGAATGTGAGAGAGTGGCACAGTAACCTATGCACACTACAACATCAGATGTTTGATATTTGTAGGGTTTTAGGGTGGAATTTTTCCAACCTGCTATTCTCTTTTGTAGTCTCATCACCTAATTTGAAGACGATCATATCTTTTTACTACAGAAATATGATACTGCAGCCATAAAAATGAGGTCTTGAGTCTATGATGCATCCAAAAAAATGTTCTCAATACATCAAGGGGGAAAACATTTTGTACACTGTAGAGAAATGCCACATAAAGAGAGTGAAATATTAAACACAAGACATTTCTGTTTTATAGTCCATTTCAGTAAATGCAAAACTCTTGATACTTTATCTTGCATAATTTGATTCACATTTAGCTATAATTACACCTGATGCACAGTATTTGGGATCTTTGTAAATGTTGGAATACTAACAAGAAGTCAGAATAATTTTAAATGGTTTTAAACAAGAAAAGTAAGGTTTAAAGATTCAGTTGAATCAGTCTCTCTGTCCAATTCAACATGAAGAATGTATCCATTGTCAGAGACAAACTGATGCTGTTTCTACCAGCTTCCTCCTTGTCTCCTTGCCCACATCTTTCGATAAAATCTCATAAATAAAACCTCTGTCCCTATTGTTGTTACAGGAGAGGAAAAACTGTTTTCGTTGGGGTGTCTGTGCAAATATTTCACTGTGGTGTAACACAAACATCTACAGACTAAACACTGTGGCTCACAGGTTCTGGCCTCGAGCTGTGTATCAGGATTTGCCTTTGGGTGTCTTTTGTTTCATGTCCTCAGTTGGTCTGTAAAGCAGATGTTTTAGTCTTTGTCAGAGTGGCATGTAGCTATGAAGGTAGAACATGGCATTGCGAGATTTGGGGGTTTAGCTCCCTATGTGCAAGTCGCGGTAGAGCAGGATTACTCAAACGTACCAGTACCATTCCCATATGGACGCCCACTGGAACGAGGCCTGGTCCTCATTCCTGGTTTGAGAAGCACTGCAGTCAACCATCACAAAAGCAAAGCTGCATCAAACACCCCACGGATACGCTGACAAACAAACCTGAGTTCAAAACAACCGCTACAGAAGCAAGTGATGTTACAGATGTCAACGCAGAGGTCCAACATCTCACTTAGTGTTTGTTGGAACCTGTTCGGGAAAACAAAGAGATACAGTGGTATCTAATTTGCTGGGAGATGTTGGGGTTTTGTAGCACAACACTGAAGACTGAGCTGCTGCAATGTCAAGTAAAACATATACACAAAAGGTGATTTCAACAAAGACTGCCACTTTGACTGTTTGACTGAGCAATAAATACTTCACAACAATGCCAAGACGAGGATATCCCCTTTCCCCATCCTCTCATTCTCTTTGTTTGCCCCTTTTTGCTTTGTGCGGCACACCAAAAGGGTAGGTTTTATCCATATCCAGTGTAAAGAGGAAAGTTTAGAACAGGTGGCCTGGAGCCATATGATTGTTCATTGAAAAAAATAAAAAATCATGTATTTACACAAACTAGTCTGCTATACCTGAATACAAATCACCATTTCTTTGATCTGCTGAGATTCTACAGTGGTATGTTTACGTCTTAGCACCTTTTAGATGTGAATACATCGTTAAATGATTTAAAATTGCAAATGTGAAATGCAGTGAGAGTTTTCTGGACAACATTTTGCCACAACTCGCTACCTAAGAGTCTATTTGTGACAGGTCTGTTTTTTGAGTTTTACTTTGTGGCTTAAAATGTTAATTGCCATCTCTGATACCCATTATGTGAATTAGAAATTAGATAATACATCATATATTAATCAACAAAGGGAGAAGGCTGCACAACCTAAAAAAGCCAAACTGATACCTGGCTAAAAACTGGCAATGCTCTGTCGCCACACTGTGGTTTAAAGCATAAAATACACCCTGAATCATTTCCATTCATGTGGAGTTTTTGGCTGATTTTGTGGTGAATTAAAAACTGCACTCTGTTCTAAGAAATTTTGATTTTGATTTTTAAAATAGAAGTAAATAATAATTTATTAAATCTGTTCCCTGATATCCAGGCAAACGTGATTTTCAGATGATGTTTTATGCTTATGCTGAAACATGGCATGATTTTTGAAAAGTTAAATTTTAGCAGTAGGCTATATTAGGATGTCTGATGTTTAACTTTTTAAAAGTTTTTTAAATGTTTCCCAAAGCAACTAAATGGAATTCAGCCATCAATTTATTATGGCCGTATACAGTACAAGTATTTAGTAAGTAAGTTGTAATTTGACCTGCTCTAACAGGTGCAAAAAAACTAACATGAAAGCCAGGGGGGAGTCAATTAAAGGTGCAGATGGGCTCGTTTTGGCAAAAGCCTGGTACCCCCAGTCATAGCTGCCCTAAACAAGGTGTCTCTAAGAGGACACTATGAGTCTCGCTCTCACCTATCCTGTGTGTTGTGGTTGTTGTATGTGTGCTGTTTGTGATGTGCATTTGCTGGGAAAGAGATGTGAGGAGGATAATGGTGAATGTTGATTGGCGATGTACAGTGCTGTAAAAAAGAAATTCCCTCATGGGACAATAAAGTCTAATCTAATGGGTTATGCTATAACAGCCTCCGCTCCTCTGGTTTCAGGCTCTCTGCCAGATTTTGGAACCTGGAGGAAGGGATTGGATCCTATTGACCAATAACAGCATTAGTGAGGTCTGCCACTGATGTTGGACGATGTGGCCTGGCTCACAGTTGGTGTTCCAGTTCATCTCAAAAGTATGGGATGATGGTCTTCAGTGAGGTCAAAGCTTTGTGCAGGCCAGTCAACTTCTTCCATGCCAACCTGGGTGTCTTCTTTGTTGACACAAAGAAGAAAAAACTCTATTGTCTTTAATATCGGCTATTCTGCAGTCACAATAACATCCCAAAGTATACTTTTTCATTATTCGATCACTATAATGTTAAAACGTCCGTACACGTAACTGTGTTTATGGGGCTAACCTGCAACCAAACTTAATATAGGCTATAGATTTGTGGGATTTTGTTGTGATTTAAAGAGTTTAAAGAACATTTAATGTGTAGTTCCGGGGTGATTTCTGCACATTAAATCTTTGCACTAATTTCTCAGAGCATCACGGTTTGTTTTTGGTGAGGGATTTCCTAGCTGTCATCGGCATGACACACTTACTGGGCTGCAGAGCCGAGCAACGGGACAGAGACACGGTGAGGAAGCCGCGAGGACAGAGTCGGACGAAGATGATAATGACGATGCGGGAGAGAAAAGCAGATTAGAGCTAATGAAGATGATGATGCCATCGACGGAGGGATGTTCCTAGAGGGAAAAAGGAACAATAATAAAAGCTCTGCGGGTTTGGAGAACGGTGACAGTGATGATGATGATCAGGATTATTCGGTTGTGAGGACGGGGCCGCTCGGAGGAGGATGCTCGGAAGATCGGAGCGCTTCCCTGCTCAGTGTTGATCATTGTGCGGGTAAATCTCGGGTATCACCAAGAGTTTAACGAAGCGCTATTCTGGGGAGGTGGGCCGAGTCCCGAGAGAGAGAGAGAGAGAGAGAGAGAGAGAGAGAGAGAGAGAGAGAACACACACATCATCGGACTGTATGATCAGACTGGGATGTTGTTGCTGCTGTTGTCGGCGATGTGAAGCGACATTAAGGAGCTGATGAAAGGACTCGTGCTTGCGTTTGGAAACATTTCTACATTTTTGCAGGTAAGCATTCTAAAATCTCTCTCCTCCCCCCCCCCTATCCCTGTTTAAACTCTCTCTCTGGTGAGCATAAAACTATAGGCTGCTACAGAAGTGCAACACTAGGGAGTTATAGGGAGGTAAGATTGTAGTTTATTTCTTTGGTACTCAAGAATGAGTTTATGCTGACCTTATCTTCATAGTATTTATACCTCCTACAGCATTACAATGATATTAGGCCCTATGTAATGTTGGTGCACAAACAGGAGATTAGCAAAACGGTGTAGGTCAAGCTAATTCAGTGGTGGCATGTTATAAATTTAGGCTACTAAAGTACCTGTTTCTTCTTAGATATATCTCATCAGCTTATGATATATAATGAATTCTTACAGATTCAGCTAGCCTACGATAATATAAATTAAGTAGTTAACATTACCTCCACCTCCTATTAATGCACCAGTAATAACAACCCATTAATTGATATATGATAACACTTGCAACAGAAAATTTGCTGCCTAATGAGATCTTTTACTTTTTACTGGTATTGTGCGAACATTTTGCAGACTAAACATATGTTTACTTAAGAATGCAGGAGTTTTACTTTGAAGTGAGTCCTTATAAATGTATGCATTAGAATTTCTTACTTAAGTAAAGGATCTAAATTGGAGCAACTTGAATAAATGAGTGTAGAAACATAATAGATACATACAGGGCATGAGGGGTCAATTAATCCTTTATGGGTGTGAAACTTTCTTTTGCAGACATCAGATCTCAATCCAGTGCGTTACCTATGGGCAATTTTTGATGGATGATGTGACACAGGAGGGTAACAAGAGCACAAACTCAGTAAAGACACAGAAACACATTGTCCAACAACTCCCCATACGAATTGTATGAATTTTCATACATTGTTTATGCATAGGAGATTAGAAAATAACTTGTTAATTCATTTAAAAACATCTTCATCCAAGAATTTCACAGGGGTACCGTTAGGGAAAATTAAACATAAAGCAAATTTACTATTACCACAAACACACTGTAGTTCCCTTTAGGACTATTGTAGGCATGTTATAGTGATTTTCAGATAGGCTCATCTCAGCTTTCCTCCCAGGCTTTCCTCCCACACACTTTAACTCTCTTGTTTCAGCAGTGAAGTACAGAAGCCTTAGAACCATACAGTAACAGTGCAGAGATGAATGCTGCCAGTGTTACTTTATCAGATCAGTATACATGTGATCCACCAATGTGTTATAAGCTATTTAGGCCTATAAAAGACAGGAAATCCAAACATGTGCAGGTGGCATTATGAAATCATATGGGTCAAGATAAAAACAGAATGCATGAACTGGATTACAGAAACTAGATGGCAAAACTATCATGCTGGCAGAGGTGTGGTCATCTGTGTCATTGTGTTAAAAGCCATATTTCCAGTTTTAATATTTGTGACTTTTTCAGTGACAGTGGTTGACAGTTTGATCTAAAGAGCCTCACAGTGTCAGTGACTACATGCAGTCTTAATGCTGGGTCCCCCAGAGGATATCAAAGCCCTTTCACAGGTTATCTAAGTCGCTTTCTCTTTCCACTCAGCTATGAAGGTCAATGCCACAAAAAGCCCTTTGACTTCCGCCTGACAGTTATTCAACGTGTTTGACTCTTTAAATTCAACAAATTCAATGAGCTAAGATTGGATATATAACTCTGGTATGCAAGTTATAGGACAGTTTTTATCTTTGCCTATAGTGTAAATAGTGAGTGCCTGTAGCAGGCTATGGCTTTGTGCAAATTCATCAAACAAACCAAGATGGTGATGGATAAAACAACAGTCATGTTCTTAAAGAAATTACAGGAAGTTTGTTACCCAAAATGTTTGCTTGAGACATCTGTTCAATTTTGCAGAGGCACTTCTCAGTTCAACTTGTGCTGAAGGTAGTTTTGCACACAAGCATTAACGTTACTGACAACACAGATGGACATACAGTAGCTAATAAATTGCTCCACAATTTTTTCACATCCAAATATATTAGTTTCCTTGGCAACTTGTTTAACTCAGACTGATAATTCATTTGGTTACCTCGTCCACTCTGGTGTAACGCAGCGCCCCCGCAACTCACTGAGCTATGCTGGTAAGTAAAATCTTATTAACATTGACAGTAATGATAACCAAAAATACAAGCAAAAGATTCAGATTGTAAAAGAAATTGTAAAATTGTTTTTTTAAAACACATTTAAGCACTCGTAAGTACCTTAAATTGAGTAAGGTAAATGCATATTGCGTGAAAATCTTGTTACAAGGGATAAACACTTTGACCTTCTCATTGTGGGGTCGATTCTGTGACCCGGCTGTCATTGGAATTGAACCCATGGGATTTCAGCGATGGTACGGACGCTTTAACTGCTGGTCCTGCCTACCTGGGTACAAGCACTAGTCAGTGTGAGATTGGTGCCAGGACTGACAGGTTGAATGGATGACAGGGCTGTGTGGGCCAAATAGACTGTCAGAAAGAGCTTGGAGGAGATGGATGAGAGGTGGGAGAGAGGGACAAAGCAGGAGAGAGCATCAGAGAGAGGGAATACCAGAAAGGAAGATGGAGAAATGATGGAGTGCTGATGTGGCTACAGGTAATACCGGACTCCCTCAGTTTCTCTGTCTTATCCTGTCCCTCTCTCTCTCAGTCTTTTCCCTCCCCATCTATGCCTGCTTTTGTCTAATCTTTACAGTATTACAAGCTCTGCACAGCAACTAGAGCAGTTTTGCAACCAGCACTCGTGTAACACTTCAGAAAATGTGTTACAGTTATTGTTTTGTGGCAGCTTATACAAAAGTTGTTTTTTAAACAGCATTCCATTTAGCTGACACTTTTATCCAAAGCGACTTACAATTGCTATATATGCCAGAGGTCGCATGCCTCTGGAGCAACTAGGGGTTAAGTATCTTGCTTAGGGACACATTGGTGGATGTGTCACAGTGGGAATTGAACCCAGGTCGCTCACAGCAAAGGCATGTACTATCCACAGTTCCATCACCACCCCATTCCCATTTCATCACATCTGTTCAACAAGTACTCACAACAAAAGTATTCCAAAATGGCCAAATGTTCTAAGAAAAAAGGTTTTTAATCAGCTGCCAGCGTCTAAATAGTTAAAGGAAAAACCTGCTTCAATTAAAGAAACCAACATTGTTGGTACAGAAAAGAATGTAAACTGAAGTGTTACGTTCAGCCACCTGGCTGAATGCTGGAAACAGAGGTTTTTGGACCTAAAATGCAGATATGGGGATGGAGCAGGTAAGTTGAAGGTGTTTATTCCAAACAATGATGAGCTTACAGAGCAGGTGAAACAAGAATGTCTATAGATCCAAAACATGAGTGTAAAATCCACAAGGTGCCAGGAAACAAGAAACTGAACAGGAATAATAAATAAATCTGAGACTAAACTAGAAACTAACAGAGACTCCTGTAGAAACTAGCGTACATACACTGGCAACAACTGAAAGACAGACAACCACTTAAATACACAGGTGTGGGGAGAAACTAATTACACACAGGTGACCCAGACAAACAGCAAACAAACCCAGCAACTAAAACATGACAGGAAGCACTAGGAGCAGACTAACTACAAACTAAAACAGGAAGTAAAGCTAACTAAGACACACTATGTCACAAAATGAAACATAACACAGACGACATAAGAGACTTGCTGACAAAGCCAACAAAAGCAAAGAACACACAAAGTAAAACAAGACTAGAAACACTGATGAACTCATAACTCCGAGGAAACCTGACAAACAAATGACTAAAGTAACACACACTACAGAGAAGAGAAAGCACAAGGGAAAGGAATTAACACAGAAAACAAATACAGAACACACCCAACCAACCCAAACCCAGGATACAGTCTCCCAACCAGGGGCATTTCTAGGAGTGACAAGGTCACAAGGGGGTAAACCCAGACCATCTGGGTCTGAGGTCAGGGTGTGTGCATGCGGAGTGTGTGCCTGTTTTTTTTGGGTGCTCCCTGCTGTTCTACCTGAAACACTATAGCTTAACTTTAGTTTATACCTTACCTTTTTGGTGTAGTTCTGTTACTGCTGCAGTGTGAAGAACTCTAAAAGAGGACTGATGGACTGAGCTTGTATACAAGAGACCCCAACCCTTCCAGCTCCCTCAGTCTCTTTACATCCACACAGGCAACAGCAAGGGTGGGGGTGGTTGGGGGAAAAAATTATTTATATTTCGTGACGATTATAGATTTTTTTTCCTCTGTCAGAAAGATTTGGGGCTGGTCAACCTCCTCCCCAAGATGTTTTGTGACTGTACAGGATAGTAATGTCACATTACTTCTGCCTTTGCTACTAAGGGAGAACATTTACTATTTTCATCTCATTCTCATCTGTTTCCCATCAAATGTTGTTCTTTGCCTAAACAGTTTTATGTGCTCTCATCTCCAGAAATGCTTCGTCTTGCATGCAAACTGGCAGAAGAGTTTCTGTGATTGCATGTGGTATGTATGGCCAGTAGCCTATTTACTCTGCTCTGCCTGTCCAGCCTTTCATCTCCCAACCAAACTCTCTCTAAGGACATTTATACGTGATTTTGAGAAATTGGCAGTGGCTTCCTGTTGGCAACTATGAACAATGCAAGCCTGTAGAGAAATTACATCATTTTTATTTTCTAGTCTATAAAAAAATCAAACTCCTTCTGAACACCTCATCTCTCATTCGTCCTTTATATGCCTTAATCATGTGCATTTGTTTTTACACAGCAGTGACATGTATATCAGTACTGTATGTGGGAGTGTTTTAATTTTGTGTTTTCGTAGCTGTGTTGTGCAGTTTGCTTTAAGTTGTTTGTTTAAATTTGTCTTGTCTCTATAATTGTTTGCTTTTTCCACACTTCACCATCATGACTCCTGCTTATACGTAGACTTTTATCAGAACTTAACTTAACTTGCCTTATTAGCAGGTTAAATAAAATAACTCCAACATTACTAAAAACTCATAATACACAGCTTTATCCAATGGCCCCAAAACATAATTTTGAGTGCAATTGAGTGGCTCTCCTTATTAAATCATGTAAAACTTCACCTTTCTATTTAAAATGTGGCTCAGTTTGTGGTGACAGTAATCAGCTTATAATGATACTTCAGTGCAGCAGTCAAAATTCCAACCCAATTGCATCTCATGCGTCACATATACATGCTTTGGAAAAGCCGTGTCTATTGTACGCAAAGCTGCGATTTTGCGTGTATATGATACGCTGCAGTTTGCAATAGCGTTGCAACACAAAGGAGACTGTGCTAGCAGTTAGGGTTAGCCGGTCGACATGCATATATTTACTGATTTAGGTTTAGGCACTAACGAATGCCATGGTTGAGGTTAGGGAAGTTGTCTCGGCGGGGCTGTCAACTCCAACGCTGTTTTGCGTACAGTAGACACAGCTTTTCCAAAGCGTGTATATGTGACGCCTGAGCCTGAAATGTGTCTTAAAAAACTTCTTTTGGAGAGATCTTCCGGAGTGTGGCACTTCTAAAGATACGGAAACCACAAAACAATAATGAAAATACTTCATTACAGACCCCGGAACATTACATCAATTTTTCAGTGTACTTTTATATACCAGTACAAGCAAATATGGCCTCTACAGCCAGCCATATTGTACACCATAGTTTAAAATGCAGTCTTTCACTAAAACAACAAACACAACTCAGATAAACAATTGTTTTCTGGCAAATTAGCAAATATCAATGAAGCAAAGTTACGCATTTAAATATGCAGTCAAATCCAAATCCAAGTTGAATACATTCTCTTTTTCTCTTCTTTATATTATTATAGACTAACAATGTAATAAGTCAGTAAAAACCACAAGACCCTTAGCACTGTAACATGTTACTATAATATAAAATAACACTTTTTTTACTATAATTTAGAAACAGTTCATATGCATGAGTTGACACAAATCCTGTGAGTTCTGTTTTTGTCTATCTCACACACACAAACACACACACACACACACACACACACACACACACACACACACCCCAACAGCCAAAGACTGGGGTGAGAACAATCCACTCTGTGTGTATATGTGTGTGTCAGAGAAGAGAGATAGTTGAGTCTAGCTGCCAGAGTGTGTTGTCTGTAATATCTGTCTGTGTGAGCTGGGACAGTTATGTAACAACAAAGCAAAATGCATCGTAGGTTCACATGAGTCACACACACGCACCCTTGCTCCTGCACACACTCTGTCTATAAACAGGAAGTGAGGGATTAAATCTTACACAGCATTCGTCATTTATCAGAATTAGAGTTAGTGAGGCATGACATCTCATCGCCATGACTTGACAGTGACAGTGTTTGACAAGTTAAAACACGTTTATCCAACTCAGTTTTGTCTCTGAAGATCACAACCATATACACTGTCTCAATGGGCTTTACAGGCCCACATCCACAGTGGTTCCCGACTGTTGGTGATGATAAGAAGACAAAGACAGTCAAGAACAAGGAAAACACCACCAAAATCCACCTTAGTGAGTGATGAAAATGAAATAAACGTATAAATCAATGAGAGAACCCCCTTTTCACCTACATGCAACATTTGCATGTAGGTGAGGTGGGAGTATGGGGTACGATGATGGGACAGGGCATTATGGAGGATGTGTTGTGAACAACGTCTGGGCAGACAACTTGATGTATAGTGGGAGGGCAGAGTGGCTTGGAAGATGGAGTAGGCTCAACAACAGATTCATGCTAAACTAAGCCCTGTTCAAGTCCTATAAACTACACTACCATTCCCTGCTTTATAGAAACTAAAAGGTTAGTTTGAATCTATATGAAACATTGCATGAGAACCAGCTTCCCTGACACCATCTGAGAGTTTGAGGGTGCAGACCTTTATTTACACGTGTAGGTTTTCATGATGTGTTCTACTTTTTTTACATTATTACATTATTTAGCATTAGTATTATTTGTTGTAGTAATAGTTGTGGTATTGTACCATGGTAGAAAACCAGTAGTATTTGCATATATGTATTTGAATGTGTGTCTGTGTGTGTGGTTCAGATATTGATTGGAACATTTGAACCCTGTGGTCATGTTCCGGAAAGAGCAATGAACACACAAATACAAAGTCACACACACACACACACACACACAGGGTGGCGTGGGTGGCCACTTCACTGCCTCTCTCTCTCTCTCTCTCTCCCTCTCTCTCTCTCTCTCTCACACACACACACACACACATTGCCTGGGGGCTTTATAAACAGCCAGGCTTGGAGGTTGTGACTCGCACATCAGTCTCCGCTCCCTCCCTCCCTCTTTCTCCCTCCCTCTCTTGGTAAAACAACACAGCTTCTCTTACTCTCTTCATTTATTTCTCTCATTCTCCATCTACCTGTCTGCTGTTTGTTGTCTTTCGCTGCTCTCTTTAGGACTGCTTCCCACATTGTCTTCTCACTAATGTGCCGATCTGCCTCTCTCTCTCTCTCTCTTTATAGTTATATATATAGCAGCACTGTGTGGTAGAGACCAGTTGAAGTTGGCTTCCTGCCTGTTGAGATGTGCCAATAGGAAACACTGTGAACAGGGGTTCATGCTGATGAAATTGATCTGCTCAGGTAAGGAACAAGACTCTTTTTTTTCATCCTCCTTTCATTTTGTTTTTGTGCTTTAATTAGTCTCTTGGTATCAATTGTTATTTGTATAGATACCAAGAGAGTAGGACATTTTTCTCGGAAGACACAACACATGATTCTTACACTGAAATGCAGGTGATGAGTAAAAGCTTCATCTTGGATTCATGGGGGAAACAACAATATGAGACAGAAAAATGAGACAATGTTTACAGTAATTTAATATTAAATTATATGAGATGAAACCTGATCTTTAAAGAGCAAATAAGAAAATATTTGCTGAATGACTAAAAAGTCTGCAGATAAATGAGAGAAAGCATGCAGGATTGCACCCATGTACCCATCTATATATATATATATCTATATATATATATCTATATATATCTATATATATATATATAGTGTACAGTTAGAAATACAGTTAGACTAAATATCATATATATAAATATACTCTTCTACTAAACTTCATAACTGTTTTGCTGTAGAAAGTTTCATAGTACTTTTAAAAACTAAGAAAATTATTTCAGATTTATACAGAAAACACAGAAATAAGATGGATGTTTATAACCACAAGGATTCAACACTAGAAAACCTTAACACATTATATTACATGGTGAATATTAGGCAGCCATGTAATATGCTAAGAAGTACATGAAACGTGAAGTACATTTTTATTCTATTTGAACCTTTTATTGATTAATCAGTTTCGTATTGGACGGTACATGAGTCCTTAACTCACACTATTTTAAATAAAGGACTATCAGGACTATTATATTGAAGCATATGTATTGAAATATTGTCATATTGTCACCATCGGTCAACCTTTGTTAAACCTTTGTCAGCAGAGCACAGCGGTTTAGGGGAAATCTGAAAATATAATTCCTTGTCAACAAAAAACACTTCCCTCTGAAATAATTCTGAAAAAAAGAGCAGAAGTTATGTCCCACACTACATTTTTAGTTGTTGTTGTTGTTGTTATTGTGGGTATCCTTTGTTTATTTTAAGCTGGGTTACAGTTTGAGCTTTAAAACCCCAGAGAACAAGGGTGACGTATTTATGGAAGCTTCCCCTCTCAATAAAAGATGAATCGCTGTCTTATGCAACAGCTCCTGACCACACTGGAGGCAGAGAAGAGACGGATGGAGGGAGGAATAGATGGATGGATGAACAGATGGATGGCTGGCTGGATGGAAGGATGGACAGACTTTTATAGATGTGTGTTCTCCTGTCATGGTTGCCCTTCAAGAAAACTGTCAATTCTACTTCCTGCCTCGTTCTCACTGCCATGCATCCCTCATGCTTCCTCCCTACCTGACTCTCTGTCCCTTTGACACACTCTTTATATCTGTTTCTCTTTCTCTCCATCTCCCACCTTTTATGTCTCCCTCATTCTCTCCTCCTGACTCTTTCCCATTTTCTTTTCGCCTCTGTGATCTATTATTCACATCCCTCTCTGACTATTTCTCTCTCTCCCCTGACACCTGAAATCCCTCCGTCCGCTCCAAGGCGTTTAGACCTTCACCAATAGTGCTTCCCTCCTAGGAAAAGAAACAGTGATGAATAAAAGAACAGAGCGAGGATACAGATAAAAAGCTTTGGATGGGCAGCTCTATAGATATGTCAAGGTATTTCTGCATGTGTCTTATTGTATAGGGTGACATTTTACACAATCCTGTAATCCTTCAAAAAGACTGATTCCTGAATCTGACTAGATTCAGTCAGGACAAGACGTTACGACCATGGTGGAAAACATAGCATTTTAACACACCTGCTTTCAGCTGTGTTGTGCTTTTTTTCCCAACTCGAAAGTTTACCTTTTAGGCATCTGACATTGTTGGATGTGCTTTCCCACATGTGCCTTGAATGCTTTTATTACAGTTTCTTTATTTCAGTATTTCTAAAATGTCTTTAAACAGCAGAAACAAAACATAATACAGTCTGAGAAATTCAGACTCTCTGAACCAAAACTGATTGCACCCAATTGTGTGTTTTACTTTGTCTTCAGCCTGATGAGTTTAAATATTTGATTGCCTCTTCAAACCACATGAACTAAAGTTTGGCAGCAGCATACTCAAATACAGAGCAGAAGAGGAACATAAAAAAGACAGGCATGGGTTTCTATGTGTTTTGTGTTGCTAGGTTGTTACTATGGTGTTGTTTTGTGGTTTGCTTGTTCTTCGTGTTGGTATTTTGTTGTACAATTAATCTGCATGGTACAATTTAAAACAGGAGAGACTAATGGAATGAAAATCTTAAGTAGTAATTAAATTAATTTATTTGACATAGTGTGCACAGCTGGAAAAGCTACATGAGGGGTCATTTTACTATAAAGATACAATTTCTATCAACGTTTTTTATAAGTTTTTTTAAGTGTCGCACTAGAAAAGTTTGATGGAAACAGCAAAATTTGAAAAAACTGTTCACTTGAGGTGGATTTTGCCTTTGTCAAAAAATAGTTAAATGCGCTAAATGGGAGATAGAAACACTTAAATCAAATAAGTTCTGATGTAGCATTCGTGTAACGTCTGATCAACCATTTCCGCTGTCGGCCTCTTGCCGGATATTCTCATAATGCGCAGAGACATAGCTAGTAGCAGCTTGTCCGCTTAAAACACATTCCTAAGGATCTCTTTCCGTTTCCTCAGATCCGTGGTCCTCAGGTCCATGTTACTGGTTTTGTTTCTGGTTTGCAACCCATACTTCTTGTTTATTACAGCCATGTGTAACATCAACTACTGAGATATTGCTGTAGCCTGCTTTATTCGCACCAAACCACCTGATGGAAACCTAAATTCGCATTTTCTTTTTTCTTTCTATTTTGCGACATTTCAAAAGTCTGTTTAAAATTTGCTTGATAATTAGACAGAAACGTCTTTTGGGGTGGCTGCAGCTGAAGTGGTAGAGCAGTCTTCCAGTCTGCATGTCGTAGTGTCCTTGGGCAAGATACTGAACCCCAAATTGTTTGGGGTAGCCAAGCCCTAAATCATACAGAAAATGCATGCACTCTAGATACTAGTTGTGGTGAAAGACCAGGCAAGTTTTAAAGTTTGACAGCAATGAGACAATTGGTTTAGAGAGGCTGTGGCAAGATCAGAATCAGAGTTGGTAAACTAAAAAAGAGTGCGTGAAGAGAGTGTTTCTTAAACTTTCACCAAACTTCAGAGATTAAATTTGGTGAAACGCCTATGATGACTTGTCCAGGACTCAAAAATCAAGTGGAGAAATACTTTACAGAGGTTTTTAGCATTCTGAGCTCCATAACACATTAATAGATCCTTTAATGTTGGCTCCACAGAGTCGGATGTGTTTGCATCTGCTGTTGAGATGTATGACACTCAAACTCAAAGTACTCCACTTGTTAGGTAGTGACCACCAGTAGAAGAATTTGACTGCAGCTGCCACCTGACCAACAAGGTTGTGTTAGCAAACCAGTCAACTTTTTCCGAATAATCAAGGGTTCTAAAAACTTAATCTTGACCCACCTTTGCATGCTTTTGCAGTGTGTAAAGGCGGCCAACATGCCACATGGCAGCTGTTTGTGCCTGAGGGTTGCTCCTTCTGTGCCCCAGAGAAGGGCATGTAGTCCCCAACTGCCAACATAAACATGCACATCTGTCTTCATATTTGGAAGAGAGGGAAAGTCACCCAGTAATAAAAACAGGCTTTATTTGCAGAGTTAGCATTTGACCTAGAATTTAAGAGATTTTTTCTCTATTTTATTCATTTTTTTTTTAAACGTGTTAAAATAAAGAAGGTGATATGGCAAATTTCTATTAAAACACTGGAAAGATTTCAGAAAAGATTAGCATCCAAAACAAACAAACCAAACTGTAGGCTAATCATTTGATGTCAAATACATCAGTCACAATAACTTTGACCAATAAAGTTGTGACAGTGTGTGTTGGCCTCTGTGTGTATATGTGTGTGTGCTCATGCTCCACCTTCTCATATCACTGCAAAAGATAAAGACTAAACACAATCTACATATTAGAGCACTGGCATGTGCGTGCATGAGATGAGGGCAGATCTGAAATGGAATCTCCTTCTGTTCCCCCTCGCTGCACACATCTTCTATCCATCTATCAGCGCTGCGCCACAACGCCTCGCCTTCCCGCCACCGAACCATCAATCATCACATTCCCATGCTTTATGGAAATGGGAGGGAAAACTTCATTTAACGGCATTTTACCTTCTATCTCATCTACCGATCTCTCTTTGTCCGTCCATCCATCCACCCGTCTGGGCTTGCGTCCAATCTAGTCGCAGTGTAAGGTCGTTTATTTAAATCTATTTAAATGGATATGAGGCGTGCATATGCAGGGAGATTTCACGGCCCAGCAGGTCAGCAAATACCAAAGCTGTTCCACCTCACTAACGCCCCATCAGTGCCCACAGACAATTAATACACACACCACAGGTGGTCAAGTTCGCTTGTGTGTGTGTATGCATATGTAAGAAGTGTTTTGAGATGTATCCATCCATCCACAATCTATCCATCTATCTGTAATAAAACACTTGAAGAAGTGGTGGGAGGTAAGGAAGCATGATTGGAAAGAAAGAAAGGATGGATGAAATATAGATGAAACAAGGAAAGCATTGGACAGGAGCAAGGTACAGTATAAAGTGAAATGGGTGTCGGGGGAAACAGCATCATTCTCAAGGGGAAATAGGGTAAAGGAGTAGAACAGCAAGAGAAATTGAGGGAGGTGGCTTGGAACGTTAGAAAGACTAAGGAAAAGGGAAGAGTGGGAGGTAGGGGAGAGGAAGGAGAAGTGAAGGGTAAATGTCTTTGCTAATGTCTATGGTGCCAATATTGACTAATGCTAGCTCCCTTTGACTTCAGTACACTTGCTGCATCCTCCTCTTCACTTCATTAGCTCTGTCATTTGCAAATGGACACATTGGCTGTTCAATATCACCATCTATGGATGGATGGATGGATGGATGGATGGATGGATATGTAGAGTATAATTCTGAAAGGACCA